AAAAGATGTTCAAATCCTTTGTTATGGCTCCCAGGAAGCAAAGGTCTACCCTTCTGGGGTAGAGACAAAATTATCTTTTATCCCTTCTTCATGCATCTCCTGCTGTGTGGGGGCCTGAGTGGGCCCAAACAAACACACAGAGAACAGTTTAGGGGGTGTCCTTGAGACTTGGGATTTCTGGTTTGTTTATGTTTAAGCTTGAACTCCCAGAAGGGAGAGGAGTAGATCAAAAAATTACCTTTAATTCCTTGATGAGAAGGCCTTGTGGGAAAATAATACAATGTAACCTCTGGACAAGTTTTTTGCAACATTCTGTCTCAGAATAGCAGGGCCGCACAGGATCTGTCTATTCTGAAGGCTGGTTCTGTGGGAGGGGTGGGTGGGGGAGGATGGGGTGCGGGAAGCTCCCAGAGAAACAGCAAGGGCAGCAGGGGAGGCTGGAGAAGGGTAAGGAGACGGACAAGGTCATTTCTCACAGTTCCAATAGTTTGGAGAAAATATATAGAGTGGTCTGATAAGAAATAGAGGGCATGTACTCTCAAACACTGCGAGCAAGGATATGAATTTTGTGAGCCATAGTGTAAATTGCATACAATGTTTCTAGAAAGCAATTTCATTTTGTTTCTGACTTGTTTCACATGATAGTTTTTTGTTTTTATGAAGTCAAACATTGATATTTTTCTTTGTTTTTTTTTTCTATTACTTTCATTTCTAGAAAGTCCTTTTCGAGCCCATATTTCCTCCTAACTTTTTATGGTTTGTGTGTGTTTCTTTTTAAATTAAACTCTTTAATCTCTCTCTATGTAGTGTGTCTTTCTAGTGATATGTCAAAGGAAGATTTTAAAAGTAGTTTCCAAGTACTTTGGAAAAAATTCAGACACTGTTTATTGATGAATTTGCATTGATCTGTTATGGTGCCTTTATGATTTAGATATATTTGATTTTTAGGATTTCATATTCTGTTCCATTGGCATAGTCATGGGTAAAAGTGATGTGTGGCAGACCGACCAGCATGGCCAAGGAAGGCCTTTCTGAAGATGTGACTTTTGTACAGACCTGGAAGATGAGATATCGGGGGGACCAAGGGCACAGAGGACACAGTACAGGCTGAAGGATGGCAGATGTGAAAACGCTGCAGGAAGAACGAGCCACAGAAAGCAGCGAGGGAGGCCGGGACGAATGGGCGAGGGGAGGAGGTGCACAGGTGATGCGGCGAGGCCAGGGCGACCCGATGCTCTGCCAGTTCTGGTGGGATGATGTCCTTGAAAGACTTTACGCAGGAGAGTGACATGATCTAAATTACATTTTAAAAATCTTTCTGGATTATTGTTATTATTATTATTATTTTTGGATTGGAGGTGGGGGATGAGAGAAAGCAAGGACCACTCCAAGATTTTTGGCTTACAAAAATTAGCCAAAAGGGGTAATTACAAAAGGGGTAAAATTACAAAAGGGGTAAAATTAGCCAATTTTTAAAGAAATAGAAATGAGAAAGACTTGTTTTACTCAAGAGTTTTAAAGCCAGACAGAGCCTGAATAACTAAAACAAGTGGTGCTGGCATATTAAGATTCATTTAACATGTATAATATACCAGACATCAGGCTAAGTGCTTTAAATGTATTGCTACAACACAATAAACCCTCACAGAAACCTATGAGCACTATTTTACAGGTGAGAAACAAAGGCACAGAAAACATAAGTAAAATGCCCGAGATCCCAGTTTTAACCACACATCACTTTACCCATGACTATGCCAATGGAACAGAATATGAAATCCTAAAAATCAAGTATATCTAAATCATAAAGGCACCATAACAGATCAGTGCAAATTCATCAATAAACAGTGTCTGAATTTTTTCCAAAGTATTTGGAAACTATTTTTAAAATCTTCCTTTGTCATATCACTAGAAAGACACACTACATAGAGAGAGATTAAAGAGTTTAATTTAAAAAGAAACACACACAAACCATAAAAAGTTAGGAGGAAATATGGGCTCGAAAAGGACTTTCTAGAAATGAAAGTAATAGAAAAAAAAAACAAAGAAAAATATCAATGTTTGACTTCATAAAAACAAAAAACTATCATGTGAAACAAGTCAGAAACAAAATGAAATTGCTTTCTAGAAACATTGTATGCAATTTACACTATGGCTCACAAAATTCATATCCTTGCTCGCAGTGTTTGAGAGTACCCATCATGCTTTACCAGCTTTGACCATAAATTTTTTAAAAACATTTTCTAGATTGACAAAGATGACAATGGTAAACATCTGTTGTTATAATTAGCATTTTAAAAGTCTGGTGACTTCAAACACCTGTTTGATCTCTTTATTGGCCATTTATATTTCCTGTTTGTGAAATGGTTGTTCATGCCCTTTCTCTATGGGGATTTTAGCCTTATTGATTTGTATGAGCACTTTATAGATCGAGAAGTACAATTTTTTCTCATATTTGCAGAAAATGTAATTGCCCGGTTGTTGTTTACCTTTTAGTTTCTATTTCACTTTTTTTTGTTGCTATTGCTATTGTTAATGGACTTTTTAATTCCTTTTTCAAACCAGTTGTTGTGTATATAGGAAAGCTATTGATTTTTATATCTTTGTAACCTAGTATCTTATTGAACTCTTTTTAGCTCTAAGCATTTTCAGCTAATTCTCTCTTTTTTTTTTTTAAGTCTGCAATAATATCATCTACACAAAGAAGGGAGGGACTGAGTGAGGACAGGAAGGAAGCAGGGGGGATATTTTTTCTTGGCCAATAATAATACTTTTATTTAGGGTTGGGTTTTTTTTTTTTTTGCTTTTTTTTATTGCCAGAATGTTTGGCAAATTTGGTGATAATAAATACTATAGTCTCCACTCCCCCTTTTTCTAACAAGAATGTCTCTAGAATTTCACTCTTACCTGTGAAGCTGGCTCTTGATGTGACCTAGATATTAACGATTATCTTAGGGTCATCTATCCTTCTATTCTAAGGTTTTTGCTTTTTTTTAAAAGATGTATTGTGGCAGGATATCATTCTTATTATCAAAGATGATAACAGAAATAAAAGCAAAACTTTAAACCTCAGGCAGAAAGCACACTAACAACATCATATATTCAGTTTTAGAGTGAAAAAAATCCTCAACTACTTCTCTGTGTCGTAGACAAACTTTTATTTATTTTTAGAACCAGTTCCTTGATTTTCCTTGGGTAATACTCCTCATCCCTTTTAAAATATCAACTTCATTGAAATTTAATTTACACACAATACATTGTGTCTATTTAAATGTACAATTTTATAAATTTTTAAAGATTTTATTTATTTATTTTTAGAGAGGGGGAAGGGAGGGAGAAAGAGAGGGAGGCGGTACAGTGATATGAGAGAAACACTATTAGTTACTTCTCCTATGTGACCCAACCAGGGACCAAACCCACAACCCAGGCATGTGCCCTAACCAGGAATTGAACCAACGACCCTTTGCTTTGCGGGACAGTGCCCCACCAACTGAGCCACACTGATCAAGGACACTTTTATAGATTTTGACAGGTGAACACACTGGGGAAGCTGCCACAATGAAGATACTGACAATTTCCATCACTCAAAAGATACCTCTGGCTTCTGAATTATGGTCCATCTCTCCTTATACCCATAGCCCTAGGCAACCACTGAACAGTTGTTTTTGTTTTGTTTTGTTTGTTTTGTTTTGGTCATTATGAAACAGTTGGCATTTTCCAGCATTTTACATAAATGGACATATTATATGAACTCCTCGTATCTGGCTTCGTTTACATAGCTCTACTCCCACTTCTAGAAGGGTAGCTGTGGCCCCTAAAAGATGACACTCGGAGCGGCTGTAAGAAACCTGCTTCAAAATGAGCTGCAGGGCCTCCCGGAAGCTCCAAGGATAATCTTCCTTCAGAAAATTAGTGACCAGCTCTACAGCAGGCACCAGAGAGTGTTCATTGGACCCTTTGAGTTTTGAGGGTTTATGAGTAAAAGTGTTCCTAGCCCTGGCATTGAGTCCTTACTCCTTGGGAGGGAAAGGGCAAAAGATATTCTGAATCCATTAGGGCTCAGACTCCAGAAACAGTCACGAGCCAGCGCCCCTGGGATTCTGGAGGTGGCCAGGTTGTGCAAAATCACAGAACTGTCCTCAGAGACATGGGCATCCAGGCACTCAGAGAGGTGCCACTCGTGTGAGCCAGCATTACTTACCACAGGGACCATCCTCCTGAGCAGCCAGGCATGGGCCCTAAGGTCCTCTGGGAGGCAGCTACCCATGCAGGCTAAAGGAGTGATCGCGGAGAGCTGCCACCTTACTGCCCAGGCCGGGGCTCCCTAGGAATTCAGGGACGCCATCCGGATGTATTAGTTTCTCATTACTGCTGTAATAAATTACCACAAACTTAATGGCTGAAAACAACATAAATGTATTATCTTACAGTTCTGGAAGTTAGTCGTCCAAAATGAGACTCACTGAGCTAAAATCAAGGTGAGCTGTGTTCCTTCTGAAAGCTCTAGGGAAGAATCCATTTCCTTGTCTTTTCCAGCTTCTAGAAGCTGCAGCCACTCTTTGGCTCATGACACTCTTCCTTCTTCAAAGCCAGCAAAGACCAGTCAAATCTCTTTCTTGATGCTATCCTTCTGATTTGAACTCTTCTGCATCCCTCTTTGCCATTTAAAGTCTTCGTGATTATGTTGTGGGGGGCTCACCCAAATAACCCAAACCGATCTCCTTCTTTCAACCTTAATTAGCAACCTGAGTTCCACCTGCAAACTATATTCCCCTTTGCCATGAAACTTAATATATTTGGGTTCTGAGGATGAGAAGTGGACTTCCCTGGAGGGACATTATTTTGCCTTCCACAGTGTACAGGCGGAAAGAACTGACTACTTAGAAGCCACATGCAGGCATCCCGGACACGCAGGGGGTGGCCGTGTGGGAACGCAGTGAGCTCGCCGTGGAGAGCCGAGCACCGTGAGAACCCGTGCGCAGCCCTCCCGGGCTCTCAGGGAGATGGCCGTGGGTGGCAAGTGGAGTGTGAGAGCATTTCCCTGGAAGAACCCAGGAGCCAGCCCCGAACACCCCACAGCACAGAACCAGGATCCTCTGTTGGACTCCACAGAGCAGCTCACAGCAAATTTCACAAGCAGCGAGGAGAGCAGCAGGAAGCTGAGCAGTGCGGTGGTCCATGGCCAGTGCTCTCTCCACTGGGATGTGGAGACTGGACTTCTTTTGTTTTTTTAATATGAAGAGCGCCTACAACAGCTCATGTGGAGAGGGGGAGATACGAAGTGTTTCTGCCAAGAAGATGAATACTTGAGGCAGAATTAATGGAAACAAATAAGATGCAATGAACAAATACCAAAATTTTAAATACAGATAAGATTAATCCTGCACTTAAGGGGGGGGGGGGAGAAAAAGAGTAAACGGAAAATCCTTTTAATTCTAAGAATGAATCCAAGCACATAAGGTTATGGTTCAACATTTTGCATAAAAAGTAAGGCATTCCTGGAAGTTCCTCATTTGTTATGTTGTTCAGGTGCCGATGTATAAGGATTCAGATATGGAACTTGCCTTCAAAAACAAGCCAGAAGATTTCATCGTAGTTTCTGAAAAACTGTAATAAATATTTCATTTTTCTAATCCTATTTTACTTGTTGATGAATAACTACATGGCTTAAAGTTTGATTTTTTGTGAAGAACATTAGGGAAACATAAAATACAGAGACTAAATCTCATACAGATATTTGAAAGAATCTTTCACTTTTTGGGATGAATATTTGAGCAGTTCTGTAGTCAGATAATAATATGGGCTTTCCCTGTCTTCAGAGAATGAATAAAGTTCTTTCTAATTTCTAAAAGTATCCATGTCCAGAAATGAAGAGAATGTGTTGTGAAGGGAACTGAAATGTGGCCCCCATCTGGACACTTCCAAAAATTGCAGTCACGAGTATTAACACTGCCATCTTTCTTCCTTGATAGAGATTCTACAGATAGTAATATGAGAAAGGGGTCTCTGCTTGGTGCCAACACGTAGGGCATGGCCTCTCTTCGGATAAGCGACCACCTCCCCACTGCACATATTTCCTTTTCTATTTTGACCGTGGTGTCATGGTGTAATCTTTGATAGCACTATGGATTGTACTTATCTCAGCCTCACTTGAGGATTTGGTCCTCTTCTAAGAAGAGCACAGCAATTTCTTTTTCTTAGACTATCCACAGGACTGATCCTGGATATCCTTAATGTCCTCAGCTACTGTGGTGAATGTCCCTCAGGGCTCTAAAATGGATGAGATCCTTCCCCTGCCCCTCCTAGAACACCTGCATCCGCCCGGCCCTTTCCCTCCCGCCACTCCAATCCTCCGCACACCTCTCCCACACAGCACTGCATCATTGCTCATCTCCGTGGAGTCCTTCTCTCTTCCCAGAGGACTCTAGTTCTTGAGGGAAACAGAGTTCTTAGAGGCTTCCTGAGGGTTGGTTTTATTATATCCTGGGCACCTGACCCATTTTATTAGCCTCAGTTGTAATACTATCGCTCCCACAGTCTGTCTACCTAATTAACTAACTTATTCTGGAGGCTTTAATTAAAAGTTTAACTCCCCAGGGAAGCCTTCTCGGACCCAAGACTAGATTGGGGTACCATGCCATATGCTTCCATAGTATTCAGTTTGCAATATTACACGTGGGTGGGCATTTGTTTAATGCCTACATTCCCCACCAGAGTGCAAACCATGGCAGGCACCTGAGGGACAGGGCTGGATCTGTTTTCTTGCCATTGTAATGGCTGGGCCCAGCTCAGTACCTGGCACACAGTTGGGCTTGAATAAATATATTTGACCTAATAAAATAAAGGAGTAATGACTAAAGGAATGAATGAGAGAATACAGTGTTTTCATTTACATAATAACTGAAGTTTAGCGTGATAGTTTAAAAAATGGGCCTTAGTCTATTTAGGCACGTTATTTAGCCTCTCTGTGCTCCTGGTCCTTATCTTAGAATGCAGATAATAAAAGTGCCCTATGAGGATTTTTAATTTTATATACATAATCATATATATAGTGTATATATGTCATCAAATACCTAGAAGGGTGCTCAGAATAATAGTCAGTACTAAACATTATACACCAGGCACCTTAAAAACCACCTCTCTGTAATCATGGAATTTTCATGATTACCACCTTCGGTTGTTGCTATTCTAATGCACTTACCCTGGCTCACATTCATATAAATATTTCATCTAATCTCTTCGTGTATTTTTAGTGCTCACTATCCTGCGTCTCTAAGTTCCGCAGGGCAGTCTTATCTCCACGCAGCAGGCGCAGCACCCAGGGCCCACAGCACCAGGGGAGGCCGCAAAATTTTTTACATTTCTTCGAAGGTCTGAATGAGGGGGAAAAAGGAACTTTTAGGTTAAAGAAATTGTTTTAATATATAATAGTCAAGTGTGTGCCTTTATACCGACATAGTCCTAAAACATACTTTTTAACGTGTGCGGGGCTGTTTCTGGAAGAGGAAGGGGCCGGTGAAGACAAGGGCGCCCGGCGGCCAGGAGTGTGGGAGAGCAGCGGGCCGCTCTGCACCCGGGCCCTCGCTCCCCAGTTAAACTAAGGGAGAACAGAGCCATCTGGGCGGCGGCGGCAGCTTCCGAGCACCGGGCGAACAGTTTATGGTAAGGCGGCTGCTCCTGGAGAAAGGACTTCCCAGCAGCAGGTCATCTTCGGACGCAGATCCTACCCTCAGGAAAACAAATGCCTCAGCCAGCACCGGGCCGAAGGGGCACTCCCCCTGCCCCCTCTTTCTCATCTGCTCGCTCCCTCCCACTGGCTCCGCAGTCTCCCCATCTCCTCCCACGTCCCCTCCCCTCCCCACCTCCCCGTGTGCCCCCTCGTCCATTGCCCACCCCGCTCCACGGGGCCCCGGGCGCATGGGAACTCCGTCCCCTCTCCCCCACCCCTGGGCTGGTCCCCCGCGCCTGCCGGCCTGCTTCGTCTGCAGCGCCTCCCTCCGAGCCCCCACCTCGCCCCTCTCTCCCTTCTCTTCACTCCCTCTTCTTGCACACTGTCTGCTTTTCTTTGCACTGCAGTTTCTTTCCGATTCCAGTTTCAGGCATTCTTTGCTTCTCCTGTTACATCATCATCATCATTTATTATTATTAATTAGCTCCATGTTCTTGTACAGTAAGTTCTTTCTTTCTTGCCTTCTTTTTGCTTCCTCTTCCTCCGAGCACCCGGCCCCTTCCCTGCCACTCCTAACCAGAGTGTGGAAATGTCCCTCTCTGCTCTGATCCCCACAGCCGGGAGCAGGCTGTGCCCCTCAGCCAGGAGGGCCACTGGAAAGGAGGTTGACATGTGACATAGACCTCTTCTCCCTGAATCAGACACTGATTAGATCGCTCATTGTTTTCAGTGAAGACATTGGGAAGGAGTGAAATAGAAGGCAAATGTGTTGCACATTCAGAAACTCAGGGTCCTCGCATGACCTGGTGGTACCCCCTGTGGTGCAGAGAAAAAACGTGGTTCCTTTGTTTTGTTTCCAGCCAAGCTGCTTGCGTGGCAGACCAGCATATTGTCCCTCTCTCACATACACACACCAGTTGGTTGGTTGCCGAAATGAATTGTCCAATGGTGTTGCTCTCCAGGTACCGGGGCAACGCCACTTGCCCTGCTGGTGTTCCCAGATGAAGCCTAAAACTGCTCGAATTCATGACCTGGTCTGTACTGGGCCCGCCTTAGCTTCCACTGGGGCGCTGGAGTCCTCTGGCATGGCTGCAAACTCCATATACTCAGCTGGCATGGAGGCCTCGCCCCAGGGAACCACTCAGGCCAGATTTCCTGGTACGTCTCAGCTACTTCTGGGTCCTGTGTGTATCACTTAAGGATCAGGGTCACTGGGGAAAGCTAAAAAGCAGCCTCCCTCTTCACCTAACAACACGGCTTCACCCAGTGAAATTTGCCCGTCAGCCCAAGCGGTTTCCTTGGGAGTCCTCAGTGGGATTCCAGACAGAACTGCCCATCCCTTAGTCTCCCCTGATTCACCTAACACATGTCATAACGCTAGTCTACATTCAGAGGAGGCTTAATATGCGCTTTGCATGATTTAATTTTCACAGCGACCCTTGGGGAAGATGCACTGTTATTTTTCACATCTAATAGGTGCAGAAACTGAGGCCCAGGGATGTTGGGTGACTCTCAGAGACCACACTGCCTTGTGGTAGAGGAAGGAGCCAGCGTGGGAATCGGGGCCAGGGGGCCAGAATCTGTGCCCTCAGACTCTGTCCGGCTGCCCTCCCGCCTGCCCTCAACCCAGGGGCCTCCTCCCTTCATTCCCCCTTCTGTTGCCCCCCTCCAGGCTGGGAAAAGGGAGGCGTTTATTTCCCCCACGTCATCAGCCTGTTCTATCATAGAGCGGGTTTATTCGCCATATAAAGAATGAATTGGGTGCTGTTTGTTTTGAACGCTGTTTTTCTGCCTTTCCAGAAAGAGACTGCGTGTTGACATTGTCTATGAGGCAAATGTTTCACTCCTTCCACTGTCCACTTCAGAGGAATTTCTGGTAACTGCTGAGACGGGCGGGTGGCAGTCGTCCAACTCCCGCACAGAGACACAGAACGTGTCCTCGAGAGCCTCGCTCAGGTCAGCTGCCGATAGCCCTGAGAGGACAGCAGTGGTGTGATGACTTCCTCCCGCAGGAACAAAGAGGGTGTCCCCGGCCAGCCTCCTGCCCCCTCTTGCCCGGGAGACCAAGAACAGCGACCAAAGTAAGCACTCCATGTACCTGCCGCTTCTCAGCATGTGGCTGCCGACCGGCTTCACCCATTGCTACAGGGACAAAGGCCTTTTAACTTCTTCCTCTGGCGCCTCACAGTGATCTCAGACAAAGAGGATGGGATGAGGGCTCCTTGTCAGAGTTCCCCACGGAGGCCCAAGGCTCCCCCAAATGAGCGATGGGCCCCTGGGGAAAACTGTCATTTCTCAGGTACCTGGATCTTCTTATCAAAACCTTTAATAGGCGGTGAGAGGAGAACAGCATATGACTGGGCATTTGTCATCAGCCCAGTTCTGGTTCAGGCTTGTTGAGCGAAAGCTTTCGGGTGACTTACCAACCGAAATAAGACCGAGAGGCCCTTGGTTCTGCGGGTAGTTTCCAAGTCCAAGGGGCAGAGAGTCACACACTGTGAGCAGCCTCAGCGTGGAACTGCAAAAACCCCAATGCTGGGCGACAAATTGGCGTATTTTGACATATATAATGTGGACCCATGGTTTTGGCCCAAACTTTCAGGAAAAAAAAAATCTTCTGTTTTAATTCAATTTTTTATTTACTTATATTTAGAAACAAAACTGATTATTGTATTGCAGGGTATTATTTTGCATGTAGAGATTGTTATTGCTTTCTAGAGTTACACTTTTAATACATAAGCATACATACAAGAATTAAAACCATTTATATAGATATGGAATTAGTACTACCCATGTATAACGCACATCCTTATTTTTCCCTAAAAATGTGGGCAAAAAAAGTTTGCATTATACACAGCAAAGTTTGGTATATTAAAGTTTTGGCATGTCCTTATCTCCTTTGTTCTTTTATAACACTTCATAATTAGAACGCCTGTTTTACCTCATTGAAGGGCTTCAACAAACCTATCTTGAGTGCTGCCCTGTGCGAGGCTCTGCGTTAAATGCAGGGACTACAGGAATGAAGGTCACTATCCCTGATCTCTGGAAGCTCACAGCCTCAGGAGAAATGAGACCTGCATCTTCCTAAGTACAAGACGACCCTGGGAATCCGATTTTAGAGGTTGGAATGAGATGCTAATAGGAACACAGCAGAGGGTTAACTGTCGGGCGGTAAGAAGGTGGGGATAGAAAGCTGGGAGGAGGAGATGTTTGAACTGGCCCATTGATGGATGTGTGATGTTTATCAGGGGCAGAAGGGGCGGGGGTCCTGGCCTCACTCTGAGAGCCTACGAGGAGGAGAGATGAGCTTTGGTGATGCCCCTTGACGAACCGGTCCAAGTTTCTGGCTTCTTTTCCGAAAGCTGCAGATTTCTTAAACGTTCATCCCACTGGTTTCACCCGTCTCAGGTCACCTTGGCTTCCGGTGCAGTGGTTATCAGAGGCTGGTGCCTGAACCAGCACCCGCAGCAACTAGAACTTGGTTTGAAACGCACAAGATGGGGCCCGGCCTGAATTAGGAACTCTGGGAGTCTCACCTGGTACAGACTCGGGCACCCAGAAGCTGAGGATGGTATGGGTTGTCTTCGGTGCCATTCTTCGCTCCCCTCGCCCCTTCCCAAACGGACAGATGGACCGGGAGCCTTAGCTAAGTCGCCACAGTGCTAGCGTTGGAGCGAAACGCCGTAGGTGCAGCCCTCCAGCGCCCAGACCGCGGCCCATGCCACCCAAGCCAGGACGGTGCCTTTCTCCTCGACAGTTTGGTCAGATGACAGAGGCGGAGCGTTCTCGGCCGGGGACGCGGAAGGACGCGGAAGGACGCGAGCGTGCGGGCGGGGCGCGGCGGCTGCGGGGACACGCTGGCCCCGGAGCTGCCCGGGCTCGCGCTCCGGCCGCTCCCGGCGATGCTGCTGCTGCTGCTGCTGCTGCTGCTGCTGCTGCTCCCCGCGCGATGCCCCGCCCGCCGCGCCGCGCGCTTCGACCCCACCTGGGAGTCCCTGGACGCCCGACCGCTGCCCGCATGGTTCGACCAGGCCAAGTTCGGCATCTTCATCCACTGGGGCGTGTTCTCCGTGCCCAGCTTCGGGAGCGAATGGTTCTGGTGAGTGCGCCTCCCTCCGCGTATCCTCTGACCCTCTTTTTGTCCCCGGGCCTCCCGCCGGGGCCCAGCCACCGCTTGCAGTTTCGTCCCCCAGTGGTTTATCCGCATTTCGAGTTTCCGGGTGTTAAATGCATCATTGTGTAAACTTTCGTCCTGGATGAACGTAGCCTTTCTCCTCCGCACGACTGCAGTTCTTGTCAGACACTTAAGGTGGCTCTGACGTCTCAGCTCCTGGACGGTTGTTGCACTTGCCAACTTGTATTTATCACACTGCAGGATAGCCATCAAATGGCTACACTGAAAGAAATTGATCGACTTGTGTAGGGTCAAATGATAAGCGTTGAAACTTGGGCCTAAGCTGTCCCTGGAGACCGACGTCCCGTCTGCTACTTTTTCTGCCCATTTTCAGTAGTTCTGCCACGAGGTGTTGTTAAAACGTAAATTCACGGGTACGAGAAACGTCTGTTCATTTGGGCACGTATTGGCTCTTTATGTTAAAATGTTACCATGAGCCTCTAGGAATTATTTTTAAAGGTTCTAGAATGTTACCCTAATTTAAAAAAAAAACTTATTAATAATCTACTATATGAAACGTGTTGCACAAAAAATTGCTCTTTAGATTTCACCTTGAGATCTGTGTAAAAATGTGCATGTAATCTACAACTTCGCAGTGTTTCACATGCCTTTCCTAATTACTTCAGGTGTTAAATCCTTCAAGATAGAAATGTAATCATATATATATATTCGTATATACTCATATATAAACACACATAGATTCCTAAGTTAAATAAAAATAAATGACTATTTAAAGGGAGCTTATACCATACATATTATATAGTGCACATCAAATTTTAATATATACTACACATATTATATAGTGCACATCAAATTGAATATATACTTTATGTAGCATGTAGTATAAACTCTATTTTGTATTAACATTGCATAGTATACATTGTACCATTCTCTACAAAGAGATTGACTTTCTGCAACCAGTGATCTCTCTTAGTTAGGGCAGCTGTGTAACCTGTGGAGTACTAGTCATCTCTTTTTTTGAAATCAACTTGTAAACAAGGGCTTCTTCCTATACCATGTATTATCAATCATATTTACTTCAGGATGCCATAAACCTTTGTTTGCAAGTTTTGTGCTGTGAGGCATTTGGCGGCTATTTTTGAAATGTTTCAGGGTAGCTAGGTACATAAATTAACATTTTCTTCCTCTTTTATTGAATATGATGCATTGTATTTTAAGTTATTATTTTGTTCAGCCAATGAAGATTAGGTAAACATACATTTGGTGCTGGAAGAGGATTTGATGCTTGTTCATTGAGACTAGTGCTCTGCCACAGATAGCTAGTTTTTAGTAATTTTATTTTTTGCAATGGTAAACTTTTTATTTTCTATAAATTAACACAGGGGTTGTTTGTTGTGACCTAGGAAAATAAATATTCTTCTCAAGCAAAACAAAATAGAGTATATTTCTGATGGTGTGGAAGGACGTTAACCTTGTAGTGTAGAGGATTCTTTAATTATCGTGGCTTCCGTTTGTGTCTTTTCTAAACCCTATCCCAGTTTGACTCATGGACAGTCAACAGTAGCAAAGAGTATATCTGGCTGTCCTCCATGGCAATTTAAAACCAAATATAAATGATAGCATTTGCAAGTGCCTCTTTTCATGTCTATTAGTCTGACATTTGAGAAGTGGCTCTAGAAAATAGAGAGAATGCAGGTTCAAATTAGACTCTGCACAGAAAAAATAGGAAAAGTCCCTAGTTCTTGTTCAACTTCCTGACTGTCCCACTTTCTCTATTGTAGTTTAATTTAAAAGGTAAATGTGTGTTGTGGATTAATTAGGATACTTTCACTTCAAGGTATAGAAAATCCAAATAAAATGTGTAATAATAGGGGACTGTTGTCATACATAAGGAGAATTAGTTGGCTCATTGATGAAATCAAAGACATAGGCTCCTTCTAGCATACTCTGCCTGTTGACTTCTTCCTTCATGGTCACATGATGGTAGCCAGCCATAGCCTCACACAACCTTGTTCAAAGGCAGGAAGGTCAGTTTCTCTTCTTATTAGTTGCTTCCCTTTAAATTCCATTGATTGGTATGGGTCACGTGTCCGTGCCCAAGCTGCAGTGGAAGCTGGGAACTTATGTATCTGACTTTTGAGCAGGCAAACAGTAGTGCCTGTGATGTATGTTGTCTTCAATGAAGTCTTTTCAGCAGGAAGGACATCCTGATCATCTTTGGGGATGCAGTGCTGATTATGGATTTGTTCATCTTAAAGAAATGCTCTTATGAAAGGGGTGGTGGTGGAAAAAGTAGAAGATGGGTCAGAGATGGGGCTTGAGACTATTTCATGAGGATGGTTACTGCTACGTTGATCTAAAATGTATAATTATGTTTTGATATTGTTTTTCTCATGAAGCCTTGCTTAGGAAGTTTAGGCCCCACTGCTCAGAATAAATGCATTGAAGAAGTAACCCTTGAAGATTGAGTCAAAACATTAAAATAACAGCGTCTTCTTAATTTTACTGTTCTCTGCAAGTGAATGTAATAGATCCATGTTATGTTTTAGGAACTTAGTTTTCCCTCTGAAGCCTTCCTCACTTATGTTACAAAGATACATATGACCTGCTGCCATTTACAAGTAGAGAATTAATAGCAAATGTGTGGCTGGGTTGTCTAGAATGTTCTATTTTATGAGCTGAGAGGATTTCACAGAGGGATAGACAGAACATGATGGGAAATTGGTTTACATAAGCTTTCTTTAACGATAAGTCAGACTGATGGGGAAGTGAGAAAGAGAATATGGGTAGTATTTGAGCAAGGAGGAACTAGGAAAGAGAGCTGGCATGATTATTTCAAATGTTTATATGATTCACGTGCTATTTCTGTTCCTTCCCTTAGGTGGTATTGGCAAAAGGAAAAGAGACAAAAGTTTGTGGACTTTATGAAAAATAATTACCCTCCTGATTTCAAATATGAAGATTTTGGACCACTATTTACAGCGAAGTTTTTTAATGCAAAGCAGTGGGCAGATATTTTTCAGGCTTCTGGTGCCAAATATGTTGTCTTAACTTCCAAACATCATGAAGGTAAGTAATGCAACATTTGCAAATACGGACAATGGTTATGAAATGTAAAGTAGTTCTTGTGGGAGAAGGAACTTACACAAGGTCATCCATGTGAAATAAGAGTTTTCTCTTGGGAGCAACTATAAGTAGCTACTGACATTTGCTTATAATTTAAGGGACCACATATTCCACCCAATTAAAAGGTATTAGGTATGCAGAAAGATCATACCCTCCACATAACAGGAAAAAAAAATGATCACATCTTGTTATATGCAATTTAACAATATTTCCAAAATTTGATTAAAGCTATTTGAAGTGGGATGTGGGGTGCGGATCAGTTTATAGTTGGAATTGCACTCTTTCCTGTCCTTTCATCCCATCTCTCCAATGCATCCTGGGAAGGCACCATGGGCCTTATGCTGCCGTCACCTTGTATCACTACTGACACGCATGGCTGTGCTTTTGGCCAACTCTTACGTGGCCAAATGGGAGACAGTTTGCTAATGACAAAACTGACACAGATTACCTGAAAGGAAAAGGAGTATGGAACCATAATGGTGCCCCAAAATATTAGAGATGGTAGAAGAATAGCTAAACAGAAACACGGTGGTTGTATTAGGGTTCTCCAGAGAAACAGAACCAATAGGAAGTATAATAGATATAAAAGCATTTAGTATATGAAGTTGACTCACACAGTTACAGAGGCTGAGTGGTCCAGACCCAGGAGAGACGATGCTATAGTTCCAGTCCGAATCTGAAGGCCTGAGAACCAGGAGGGAATGATGTAGGTTCTAATCCAAGTCTGGGTCCAAAGGTGAAGACCAATATCTCAGCTCAAAGGCAAGCAGACAGAAAGGATTTTTTCTAACCCAGCTTTTTATTCGTTTAGGCCTTCAACAGATTGCAGGAGGTAAACCACACTGGGGAGGGCAAGCTGCTTTATTCAGTCTTCTGATTCAAATGCTAATCTCATGTAGAAATACCCGGAGGCAGACATGTTTAGCTAAATATGTGGGTACCCTGTGGCCCAGTGAAGTTGACCATCACGGTGCTCCTACATTAATAGGATTGTTTACCACCACCTTTCAAGTGTTTATAAGATAAAGAAAGCATTGATAAATTGTTACTTTCCCAGCTTCGTCTTAATTTATTTGACAGCTTCCTCTGCAAGTCCATCTTTGTCTTGGTATAAGAATTGTGCCTCATTGCTTTCTTCAAGGGTGGGGAGGGGAGTAGGAGGGAAGAACCAAAACCACATATATGGAATTATCTTAGAATATTTTCCTCTTTGGCCATATTCTAGTGGCTTAATGATTTTTTTTTTCATATAGATGTTTCTCCTGCTTAGATGAATATCTATGAAGTGTATTTGCTTGTGAACAGGTTGATTTCATGCGGTAGGAACGTCTCCAAGCTGTATGGCACAAAGTATTACATAGTGAGCTTATTTAGAAAACAAATTAAACTACTCTTAATCATACTGTGAGGACAGAAGATGAAGCTCACACTTAAAAACTTCCTAGGACCCATGTTGCCAGATGTTTTCATTGTTTATGGAAAAGACGCTGCTGAGCTTGGCTCAGCAGGAAGACCACTGAGTGAGCTTGTGGTGGGGATGCAGACCGAAGACCCCCGGGGTCTTAGCACTGCCTGACATGAGGGCCAGTCAAGTTGAAACATTTTGAATAAGACCTTAAGTATCCGCACTGCTTTGAAGCTTGCCACAAACATCTTCGGAACCAGTGTGAGCTCTTGTAAAAACATCTTAAAAATGATCCTAAAGAGCGTGTTCATCTTAGATTTGTCCTAATTTACAGGAGTTAATTGTTTCACCAAAAGCGCCTTATTTATGTCTATTCTTAGAGATTCTTGTAGATTTTGTGGGATAATAACAATGTACCTATGTTCCTAGACACTAACTAAAAATGTTTAGACTTTCATATGATTTCTTAAGTGTATCAGTTTATATAATGCTTCTATTATTTTTAGATAGAACAACCAGCAATCTAAATGCCAATTCCTTTAAAAACATGAATTATTTCAAAGTGGTTGCTTAATGGCAGACATTGTCTTTCTTGCCCAGTTAGTTGGTAGGTAATTCGCTTTGGTAATTTAAGGAGCAGCATCTAAGCTTATGGCTTTAGAATAGGGTGGGATTACAAATGGTGGGTGCAGTATTTTAAAGTACAGAACTACGGAGGACTAGGGTCTTACTTACCCCATCTGACCCTCCCAGTTCAATGAATAACGAGGCTAAAGGAGATTTACTGCTACAGGTACGTCACCAGTGTTCTAAGAATCACACTATAAACAGATAAATAATCCTAAAGCCAGGGACTATACCTGAATCTTAGCTTGATCTCCTAGTGTTGATTTCGCATTAGACCCGGTGCTGGCAGTTGCCTGGGACATAACAGAGAAGGCGCTGGGCATGAACCTGTTCCCCAGGAGCTTATATTCCAAGAGGGAAAATACAGACAATAGATCAGACTATACAGACCTTGTGGGTCCCCTGAGAGCTACTTTTAAAAATCTCAGTTTACCTTGTTTAAATTCTCTTTTTTTTTCCTTTGTATAAAAGCAGAATATATACTATGAAAAAAAAATTGCCCTAAGAGTTGCTTGTAGAAGCAGTTATTTATACATCCCACATATGATCAAATTTGTTTTGGCGTTTGTTTAGGTAGACACTGACCTACAATAAAATGGACGAACTCACACAAATTTCTAACACAATTGCACAGGCTTCCCCTTGTGGGGCTCCGAGTACTCGTGGACCTGGAACGCTGCAGATGAGGGGCCGAAGAGGGATATCGTCAAGGAACTTGAGGTAGCCATTAGGCACAGGACTGACCTGCGTTTCGGACTGTACTATTCCCTTTTTGAGTGGTTTCATCCGCTCTTCCTTGCTGATGAATCCAGCTCATTCCAGAAGCGGCAATTCCCAGTTTCTAAGACGCTGCCTGAGCTCCAGGAGTTGGTGAACAGGTACCGGCCGGAGGTGCTGTGGGCAGATGGCGACGGAGGCGCGCCCGACGGCTACTGGAACAGCACGGGTTTCTTAGCCTGGCTGTACAACGAGAGGCACGTGTGCTCTTAGGTTGCTGTAGTGACCTTCAGTGTGACCAAGACATGTATAACATTTCATTCCCTTGCTTCCTGAAATATCTCCTTTCAGGCTCATGTATGGTAGGGGGGAGGAAATCCTTGTAAATAAGGCTTATTAGGTATATCAATATTTACTCAAAATAAGCAAGAGTTACAAATCAGGAGTCATATGCAACTCAAAAGTCTGCTTTTGAAATCAGACTAAACGGTTGCAGAATGCAGAATTTTGAAGACATTAATTTTGTGGGCCCGCAGTTTCATGTCCTTTCCCGGGACAACCTTATATCCATGACTGATTCCGATTACTTGCTTCTCGATTCCTCTGATGGCTGCTTACTTTTGTCCTCCTACCCTCTGGCAGCCTTTGCTGCCCAGTCAACGTCCCCTTTGTCTGTCTCCTTTTCTCGCCCTCATCCACAGGTCTTCCTGTTCTTTCCATTGCTCTCTAGTGCGGCCCAGCCTGCCCCTTTAGGACAGCGAGTTCTGACCGAGCTCCCTCTTAGGCTTAAATTGTACGGAATCAATTCATATTGGTAACTGCAATAGAAGGTACTTGGTATTGTGTTCTGAAGTCAGGAAGTGTTCTGCTGTGCTTCCCTGAGCCCACAAAGGATGCACATACAAATACTCTGGGCAATTCTCCTGATATTTAAAACAGCGGTTTGTTCATGTTCTCCTTCCAGTGGGAAAGACTGGGAGCCATCCATTTTATTTGTGAGTCAAAACCGTCCCCTCTAAGTAGAGAGGTGCCGGAGGTACCACCTGTTATGATAAATACTATTGTAGGGATATTTCTCACAACAGTGCATTTCATGATGGCAACAGTTGACTTCCCTGAAATTTTTCAGTACTAGGCACAATGGCAAGAGAAAGAGAAAGGCTAGAATGTATGCATGAGATTATTCAGTCAGAGGTGAGAAGAATGTCTTCATTGTAAATTCAGTGTTGGGTAGCATTCACAATATTGGGGAGAAGCTTCCAATAATAGTATAATAGTCTTAAATGTGCTGTGTGTTCTGGGCCCAGGGCAAGGTGTCTTATATGTTATTTCTGTTCTAACAATGGCTGAGGAAATTGTTTAGTCAGATGAATTAAGTAACTTGATGTAGGATAGTGCCAGAGACAGAGTTGCAATCAGCCCAGGTCTATTTGACTTAAAGACCATGGGCTTTGCATTATATTACACTATGGTGAATTTACAAGAGTGCATTTCAGTCAGGCCTCTTTTCAGTGACATTTCCTTTGGTGTTAAAAAATGTTTACTTTTTGTGTATAAAAAGTACACTTTTCATTTCAGCCCAGTGCAGGACACAGTGGTCACCAATGACCGCTGGGGAGCTGGTAGCATCTGTAAGCATGGTGGCTACTACACCTGCAGTGATCGGTATAACCCCGGACACCTTTTGCGACATAAGTGGGAAAACTGCATGACAATAGACAAGTTTTCCTGGGGCTATAGGAGGAATGCTGGAATCTGGGACTATCTTACGATTGAAGAATTGGTGAAGGTATAGTAAAATGCCTGTAACGATTATGGTAATATTCTTAATAGGGTGGGTTAGTGAGAATCATTTTTTATTGTGTGTATAGCTCAAGGACCTATACACATAGGACACTGTTCTATCTTCCACATTTGTTCTCCTAGATAGTGACCTTATAGGCATGTATAAGTCCATAACTATGATACGCCAATACATTCATCATGGAATTGTTTTCTTTAAGAACTATGTTCATGCTTAAATTTTTTTTTTTTTTTAGCAACTTGTAGAAACAGTTTCATGTGGAGGAAATATTTTGGTGAATATTGGACCCACACATGATGGTACCATATCCCCAATTTTTGAGGAGCGATTAAGGCAAATGGGCACATGGCTAAAAGTCAATGGAGAAGCCATTTATGAAACCAGCACTTGGAGATCCCAAAATGACACTGTTACCCCAGATATGTGGTGAGTTACTCTTTCACCAGGTACTATTTTGTGGAGGAAGGCACTTAACTTTTCTCAGAGATATAAAGAGAGCATTAGGATAAAAGGAAATTGGGTGAATGCTTACCCACACAGAACACTTTCCAAACTTTATTTACTGTAAAGAGAAGGAAAGGGAAGGCATTAGCATGTTTTTGAACACTTACTATTTGGCAAATTGAGCTTAAATCATCTCTAGATACCTCCAAATGGTGGACAAATTTTAGTGAAAAGTAGTCGACTCTTATAAAAATTATAAGTCATTCAGAAAAGGGGAAAAACTCTGAGTGGTTAATTCAAAAAGGAGACTTCTGTTTAGTCAGTTAAGTAATTTCTGACTTTTGTAGATGTTGTATCACATCAAATTAGCAAGCAAAAGGTGCTGGAGGGCAGAAAAATATTAAAAATCAGCTCCAATAACAGCATTATTTTAGTTGCCCCCCCCCAAATTGTAATCTGATCACAGTATTCAAGTAAATCTAACCCTGAAATTTCTTTAAAATGAATTATCTTAACTTGCTAATTTTCCTTTTTACTGCATTTTTCTTTAAAAGCCTTGGCTTAGGCTTCTGTCTGAGTTTTGGAAGGTTTTGTGGGCCAGTGAGTACCTGAACCAGACTCTGCGTATGTAATGGCTTCTGATGTGGGGTCTTATATATACGTAAGAGTAGTAGGAGCGAAGCTCTAAAAATTCACCTTGTGTTGCTACTAAAGTGAGCATAGCCTGACCAAGTATAGATGAAAAGATTAGACTAAATGTTTTTTTTTGATTTCACTTGACCTATGACCAAAAAACAAAAGTTGTCAGCTCATGAAGAAAATAAACTAAGGCGCTGTAGACAGAAGCAGCAGTTTGTAGAATTTCAGAACTTTGGGGCTGTGAGAAGCCATAATAAAAACTCAGCACCGAGCCTTCATTTCTAAAAGGCCAGCTGAGCTCTGGTTTGGGAATTTTTTTCTGTGCTTATATTTGACTACGAAGGTGTCTGATCTGAGACTTCACAATCATTAGCTGTTATTCCATTAAAGTTTCTTTAAATAAATAAAGATAAAGGCAAGATATCCAACAAGGCCTATAAAGGCCCTGTGCCGGGCCCCTGCCAGTGTCCCCGAGCTCAGGTGGCCCTGCTCTCCCCTCCTCATGGTGAGAGCTCTGACGCTCTGGTGTCATCACCTATGCTCCCCTCCTCGATTCGTCACCTATAGTGTCGACGTCAGGAATGCCCAAGCCTACAGAGAATGTTAATGTGTTTCTTGAGCCGAAGCTGTGGCCAACTGCTAGGAAGCAAGATCGCAAATGCTCCCCAGAAGGACCGTTTGGCAGATTCTTTTATGCATTTGGAATTAAGGAGGAAATGTAACGAAGAGCGTGTGAAGGTGGGAGAAAGCAAGGCGAGGGGTTGAATTACAGGATAATTAACAAGATTATATGCTTTCTTAAGGGTGCTTGTGCTTATTTCGAAGATGTGTTAACTAGATGTTAAATAGATGCGCAAAAATAGACAGGGCTTGCTTACAGCAAAGGGAATCCTTCTACTAAAAAAGTTACATGCTTTGGGTGTTGGCTACCCAGCATGGCCCGCCCACATTTAGGAGCAGATCATCCTGTGAGGTGACTTTCTGCAGAACCCCTTTTTTGTCTGCAATGGATTCCCAGGCCCATTGCTAAAATCCTTTGAGATTTTAGCCCTGGTTTACTGTTATTGTCCCCAGAACTACTCTTAACCTATGGAATCTGACTCCATCTCTGGGTAGATGGAGTCAGAATTGAGCTGAATTGTAGGACCCCCAGATGGTGTCTGAGAATTGCTTTGTGGTATGGGCAAAACCCCTCCCCGCAAAGGAATTGGGACCAATATCCTTTTGGGGGGCTATTTTTCCTTCCTTCTATTAATGAAGACATTGGTAAATATTTACCAAATGGAAGTATCTCTGTAAATAATTCCAGACTTAACCCATAAGTAATGAGAAATATTACTATGCCTTTCCCCCCTTTTAACCAGGTACACATTCAAACCTAAAGAAAAATTGGTCTATGCCATGTTTCTCAAATGGCCCACATCTGGACAGCTCTTTCTTGGCCAACCCAAAGCTACTCAAGGGTCAACAGAGGTAAGAGGGAATATTATCTTTATTGTTCCTTTAAATTGTTGACTAGAATATCCTGATGAAAACATAACTTTTAACTTCAAGGAGAGCCTTCATGTGTTCCTCTTATTAACCATTAAGGTAATTTTAAAATGAGCTCCATAAATGGCAATGTTTGGCCAGAACCTTTGAAAATTTTCTTTCATTTCCCAGAAAACTAACTTTATAAAACAGCTCCATCATCTTTATTTCACATAAAGAATGTGTGAAATATTCTTTACAGTCATTCTATGTTGTTCAAGTTTACTATATGCATCCAAAATGATTCTTTTCATAAAACTGAATTCCAGTCCTTCCCCTAACATCCCGCCCCAGAACACACCTGAATAAAAGTAAGATACCTTGGCCCTACAATTTTAAGTTCATAAAATACTTTGGAGAAAGTTAATGGTTAATCTAAATGCTATGACCACTAGGTCTGATATTGGAGTTCATTTTGATAAATTTAATAGCTTATTTTTAAGAAATCAACAATTTCCCTGGAGGCAAGCTATCCATTTGCTTCTCCTTGCATCATCTCTTCATATTTCATTTCTAATGCTTATGATTGATCAGGAAGCAAAGAAGATAAGAGTTCAAATCTGATGTTTAATTATGGCTTAGTGGTCTGGGTATGAAATTATGTTTTTATTATTGTTCTCTTTGGCTCTCATTAATATTGTTACTTAAAAGTTAATGGATTTTGTTTTTATATTGCTCTACATGATAAGCAAAGTTTTATGGGTCAAAATAACCATCAATATGTATAAAACTATTTATTTAAATTCCCTTCGTATAAGACTAAAGATATGAGCCCTGGCTGGTGTGGCTCAGTGGACTGAGCCTCGGCCTGTGAACCAAAGTATTGCTTTTTCGATTCTTATCCAGAGCACATGCCTGGGTTGTGGGCCAGGTCCCTAGTAGGGGGCGTTTGAGAGGCAACCACACATTGATGTTTCTCTCCCTCTTTCTTCCTCCCTTCCCCTCCCTAAAAAATAAATAAAATCTTTTTTTAAAAAAAGACTAAGGATATGAAACAATTACAATAATAATTGGTCACAGTTAAGTATTGTTGATTAATGGAAGTTATTGAAAAATCTGGGGAGGAACTCTGGTTGGATAAGGGAGAGGAACCGATCTCCAAACATTCTGTGGAAGAACTTAATTCAGGCAGATTGGTCCAGAGTCATTTTCCCCACTCGTCTCTTCAGCATTTTCCCTACTCTGACACTTTATTCAACCTTTACAATTCTTCTTCCCCAGCTCCTTCACACTTTTATTTGAGAATAAGATAGCAGCAAGATGGATGCATGTTTTCTTTGATCAAATAGTTCTTTGTGAACTACAAAATGAAAGTAAAAACTGAGTCTTCTCCCTACAGTGCTTTTAAGAAATGTAAACCACCTCTTCTCAATAAAGTGGGTGAGTCAGAGATACATTTGGAGACATTTGCTTCTGTGTTTTAATTTCAGGTTAAATTACTGGGACATGGACAGCCACTTAAATGGACCTCTTTGGAGAAAAATGGCATTATGGTGGAACTGCCACATCTAACCTTTCATCAGATGCCCTGTAGATGGGGCTGGGCTCTAGCACTGACTAATGTGACCTGATGTGCAGCAGAGTGGTTCATGCCGCAGTTACGGCTCAGACTAGAAAATGTCAGGTTTCTATAATTATAGTACATGGAGAAAGCATATGTGAAACGGGTCAAGAAAAGTCAAGTGATTATTTAGGCGTTTCAGCCCTTTCCCCCTCCTACTGCCTAAATTTTTTCCTAAATTAGCCTTGTAACTGTTTTAACTCTCCAGCAGACTTTGTGTTCAGAATAGGACTTACCGAGATGTGCCACTTTGGCATGAACTATCGCAAGCTGAAGGCCATCAAGATCCTGCGGGCTCATGAGAAACTTTTACCTCTCCCTCAAAGACTTTAAATTTGGGGCCCTGCCCATAATGAGTTATCATCAGAAATAACTTTTTAAAAAATGTGTATTTCTCACCATTTTAATGTTTCCAAAAAATTGATACATCTACAAGGTAAACATGAATAATATCTCAAAGTCTTTGACAGGATATTTAAGTTTGTTAGAATTAACATAAAAACTAATATTAAAAACAAAGAAGAAAATCCACAAAATTCCATAGAATAGTATTGTTAACAGACCTTCTTTGGTTAGTTAATAATCTTCATTATCTCCACTTAAGTCTGCAATCATTAACCTTACACATGTTCTCCCACTTCATGTTAGACATTTTGACATAGAAATGTCATCACTGTACATACTTTGGCAGGAAATAACTTTTTATGACCTGTCTGTAGGGCAGGGCAAACTTTGAGTTGCTGAGCATCTCATTTTCTTCTCACCCTGCAAAGACCTGCCTCTACTCTGAAGCCCGCAAGCACCTCACTGCACCTCAGCCTTAGCTGAGAGTGTCATATATGCCACCTTCTGACTTTCTGTCTCTGAACCTCTCATGTATGTGGACTTCCCATACATACACATGTAATTACATGTGCTTATCTTCTCTTTATCTGCCTCATGTCGATTTGATTTAGGCCGGCTGGAAGGAAGAACCTAGAAGGGTAGAAGAGATTTTCTCTCTCCCCCGCAGTTGCTATTAAAGTCTTTTCATATTGAATTGAATTCCATGTGTGATCCTGAGGTGGAGATTTTTGTTTTAGATTAGCTAGGAGTTGGTGGTGTTAAGAACTGAATTGTGTCTGCTGCCAGAGGTTGAAGCCTTAATCCCCATTGTGAATGTATTTGGAGATGTGGCATTTAAGGAGGTAATTAAGGTTAAATGAAATCATAGGGGTAGGGAGCCTAATATAATATGACTGGTGTCCTTTAAGAGGAAGAGATCCCAGGGATGCACAAGCGGAGAGTTAAGGCCGTTTAAGGACACGGTGAGAAGGCAGACCATCTGCAAGCCAAGGACAGCGGCCTCAAGAGAAACTGAACCTAAAGACACGTGGAACTTTCAGCCTCCAGAACTGTGAGAAAATAAATTACTGTTGTTTAAGCCACCCAGTCAGAGGTATTTTGTTATGGCAACCATAGCAGACTAATACAAGTGGCAGGTATGTAATAGATTCGGCCTAATATATATTTCCACTGCTTAGAGTAATTGTGTTTTTATTTTTCAAAATTGTCTTTTCTCCCCCTCCTGGTAATAAAACTAATAAATGTTCACTGTAGATATTTTAAAACACACAGAAATGCTCGAAGGTGAAATTGCTATACAGATGACCACAACTAACATTTTAGTACATGTTCTTCCAGGTTTTTTCCAGGAGTGAGGAAGGGGTGTGGAATTGGAGGTGTGGGACTATTTTTGTAAGTGAGCTAACTTGAGGTCAAATTTAAATGAAAAAATTTGAGCCCTGGTCGGGTAGTTCAACTGGTTAGAGCATTGCTCTCATATGCCAAGGTTGCAGGTTTGATCCCTGGTCAGGGCGCATACAAGAATCAGCCAATGAATACATAAATAGAACAACAAATCAATGTTACCCTCTCTCTCTCCCCCTTCCTCTCTCTAAAAAATAAATAAAAAATTTAAATTAAAAAATTTGCTTTTTATATATGCCTTCAACCAAAATGAAGTTGAAAACCTAGTTAAAAATTAGAAAATCTCTTCAGATCTTCCTTAAGAATAAAGCAAGCTTCCCTGGCTGGTTCCCACTGATCAGTGGATTGAGTGCCGGCCTATGAACCAAAGGGTCACTGGTTTGATTCCCAGTGTAGGGCACAGGCCTGGGTTTCAGGCCAGGTCCCCAGCAGGGAGCATGTGAAATGCAACCACACACTGATGTTTCTCTCCCTCTCTTCCTTTCTCTTAAATAAATAAATGAATGAATAAATAAAATCTTAAAAAAATTAAGCTAATGAGTTAAAAACAGTACTGATTTTGATGTAAATGTAAAGAAACACTGATTAACTGTTGATTATCCGTACAAAAGATTGCAGTATGGCCAGATCTTCATCAGAGGTTCCATTTTGTCATTTAATCAAACACAGACATAGCATGGTTACCAGAAAATACTTTAAATAGAGAGTGAAATAAAACACTTTACATTTATTTCTTAAAATCATGCTAAAGTGGAAAAAGAAAAAAATTACTCATTTTTGAAGTTCAAATTTTTGAAACCATGCCAAATTATTTACACAAATACTTTTCCTGTTCTAAATCTCAATTAACATTTTATTAGAGATCCAACCTGGACAGATTAACATGATCCTAAACACTAGGTTAACAAAAAACAAAAAAGGAAAAAAAAACCCCAAATAAATAGTTGTATAGAAATCTTCAAAGTAGGGTCTTAAACTCCTGTCCGCCTTTACCTTTACACAGTGAGAATAAAGGAGAAAAATGAAAATATTTAAGCAAAGTATAGGTAGATACAGGGTACAGGAAGTGAGTAGCTATGAGGAAGCTAAGTGACAAAATGCAGCTTAGCTTTCAGAGGCACTGGTAAAATGCTTTGCTAATAACCAGTCCATACAAGGGGGACCCCCAAAAAACTAGACTTATCTTCTGGAGGGCAGGCCCCTTTTAGAACAGGCTTCCCCTACTAGGCGAGTTTCCTAGAAACCCAGCTGTATCAGTGTATCTGTTGGCATTTGGGGGAAAATACTGTAGAAATCTACAATAATACTGTATCGCTGTTTTACAACTATGTAATGTAGTACATGTGATTTGTATAAGAAAGACAATTAGAATATGCCTCTAAGCAGGCTTATACTGAAAAGGTAGAGAAGGCCTAGTTCCTACATTAAATAATTGGCAAATATTTGTATTTTAAGTGAAAATATCTAAGTATACATGTGTTATTTATTTTTCATGATACCCTGCTTTAAATGACTTTTGGGACTAACCAAACAACTAAGGGTCTGTGTTGGGACCTCTCAAGGCTGGACAGATACTTGGGATTCGGGCGGATGGAAGACCATTCACGGAGCCGCTGGGGTGCCTGACACGCCTTTATTCAAGGGTGGGTGACCCACGCATGCTGCAAGCTTCGGGTGTTTGTGCCCGGCGAGCGGCCCCTACCCCCTTAAGTACTAGGGACGGCAAAGCCGGCAAAAAGCCAAAATATTATATAAAACAGCGTGATTCTGCGCAAGTGAGCCCACTTCAGGTTTTGGGAACCGATAAACGGTTTGGGAAGTGTGAAGGCTATGAGAACACTATTTTATCAGGCTCATTCAAGGTTGTGAGGAACTGCTTCCCTTAGTTACCCAGAAACCTGGGTGAGGAAGCCAGAAGCCAGACCACCTTCATTTACCCTACAGGGTCCCAGACAACAGGGCTCCTACTGTGTAACAGAAGATACATTTCTAATGCCTAAGGCCAATTAGCTTCAAATACGTGTGGTTTTTACCTTGTCATCTCTTCAGTTGCCAATAGGTGCAGGTGATTCAGCTGTGTATCCTTAGAGAGCCACACCTGCTTAGCCTCAAATTTTCTTTGGATGAAATTCTGGGTTACCACTGCTGGAAGAGATGCCCAATTATACACATATTCACTAATTTTACAAAATGCAGTTTTTATATCTCCCTATTAGAAATAACATCATTATATTCTGTCACATTTAAAAAAAAATTTTATTTCTCCTCCATGTTTACATTTTTTTTTTTCCCCAAACATTCTGGACATAGACTCCTTCATGGTGGCTTTGGGCCCAGGCTGCCCTTGGAAGAGACTTCACAATACATTTTCTGCATTCCACTATTGAGCTACATGTTACGTTGGACAAACATGAAGTTACTGAAAATATTTTTATATTACTGAAAATATATCCAATACATTGCTACATGATTCATTTATTTCTGTTCTAATTACCCATATAAATACCATACTATAGATTTAAGAGAGATTTCTTTTGAGAAGGAAATGCTATTTTTTCTTAATAAATTTAAAATAGAGCATCAATTATATTACCAGTTAAAGTGAAACTTGAAAACTAGCATCTTCCCAGAATAAAGGCAAAAATGCTATGTATCCCGAGTTAAATCCCACTTGATCATAATGTATGATCTTATTAATGCATTCCTGGATCCAGTTTGCTAATATTTTGTTGAAGATTTTAGCGTCTATGTTCATCAGGGATATTGGCCTATAATTTTATTTCTTTGTAGGATCTTTATCTGGTTTTGGAATTAGGATAATTCTGGCCTTGTAAAGTGATCTTGGGAGTCTTTTCTCCTTTTGAATTTATTAAAATATTACAGTTTGAGAAAGATAAGTGTTAGTTCTTTGAATGTTTGGTAAAACTTACCTGCAAAGTCATCCAGTCCAGCACTTTTTTTGGGAGTTTTTTTATTGCTGCTTCAATTTACTTTGTTGTAATCTGTCAACTCAGATTTTCTAATTCTTCCTGGTTGAGTTTTGGAAGATTGTATGTTACTGGAAATTTACCCATTTTGTCCAGATTGTCCAACTTGTTGGCCTGCAGTTCATAATATTTTCTTACAATCCTCTCTATTTCTTTGGTGTCAGTTGTTACTTCTCCTCTTTCATTTTCTATTTATTTAGAGCCTCTTTTTTTCTTGAAGAGTCTGGGTAAAGGTTTGTCAATCTCATTTATCTTTTCAAAGAACCAGCCCTTGGTTTTATCACTCTTTTATATTGTTTTTTAGATTTTATTTCACTTATTTTTGGTTTGATCATTATTTCTTTTTTCTTTTTTTCTACTCACTTTGGGTTTTGTTTGTTGTTCTTTTTTTAGTTAAGTGTAAAGTTAGATTGTTCATTTGAGATTTCTCTTGTTTCTTGAGGTTGGCCTTTAAAACTATGAATTTCCCACTTAGGATTCCTTTCCCTATGTACCATAGATTTGTCCCATCAATAAATGAGATACACTACATAAACAAAATTAAGGATAAAAACGACGTGATCACACCAATAGATGCAGAAAAAGCATTTGATAAAATCCAGCACCCACTTATGATACAAACTCTCAGCAAAGTGGGAATAGAGGAAACATATCTCAACATAATAAAGGCCATATATGACAAACCCACAACCACCATCATATTCAATGGGCAAAAACTGCAAGTGTTTCCCTTGAGATCAGGAACAAGATAAGGATGCTGTCTTTGACCACTCTTATTCAACACAGGACTGGAGGTGATAGCCATAGCAATCAGACAAGAAATAAAGGGCTTCCAAACTGGAAAGGAAAAAATAACACTGTCATCATTTGCAGATGACATGATACTGTTTATACAGAAACCCAAAACTACTAGAACTGATAAATGAATTCAGTCAAGTAGCATGATACAAAATAAATATCTAGAAAGCAGTTGCATTTTTATACACCAGTAATGAACTATCAGAAAGGGAAACTAAGGAAAAAATCCCATTCACAAGTGCTTCAAAAAATACCTGGAAATAAATTTAACCAAGGATGTAAAAGACCTATTCTTGGAAAATTATGACATTAAAGAATGAAATTGAGGAAGATACATGTAGGTGGAAGCATATACCACGTTCATGGATATGAAGAATTAACATTAAATTGTCCATACTACCCAAATCAATCTATGGATTCAATACAATTCCTATTAAGATACTGATGGCATATTTCACAGAACTAGAACAAATATGCCAAAAATTTAGATGAATCCACAAAAGACCCCAAATAGCCAAGGCAATAAATGAACAAACAAGTGTTGGTGAGGATGCAGAGAAAAAGGAACCCTTGTGCTCTGTTGGTGGGAATGCAGATTTGAGCAGCCACTGTGAAGAGCATATGGAGTTACCTCAAAAAATTAAAAATGGAACTGCCTTATGACCGAGCACTTCCACTGTTGGGAATATATCCAAATAAACCCAAAACACTGATTCAAATGAATATATGCATCACTATGTTAATTGCAGCATTATTTACATTAGCCAAGGTTTGGAAGCAGCCCAAGTTCCCATCAGTAGATGAGTGGATAAAGAAGCTGTGGTACACTTATACAATGTGTACATTGGTACAATGGTACACTCTTCAGCTGTAAAAAAAGAAATAAATCTTACCTTTTGCAACAGCATGGATGGATCTGGACAGTATTATGCTAAGTAAAATAAGCCAGCCAGAGAAAGACAAGTACCATCTGATCTCACTTATATGTGGAATCTGATGAACAAAATAAACAAAATAGAAACAGACTCACAGATACAGAGAACAGACTGACAGCTGTCAGAAGGGAGGGGGTTGGTGGAGTGAGTGAAAAAGGTGAAGGGATTAAGCAAAGAAGAAAAACCTCATAGGCGTAAACAAGAGTATGGTGATTACTGGAGGCAAAGGGGCTGGGGAGGTAGAAGGGGGTAAAGGCGGATGAATGATGATGGAAGGAGACTAGACTTTGGGTGGCAAACACACCGTTCACTGTACAGATGATGTGTTATAGAATTGTACAACTGAAATGCATATAATTTTATTAACCAATATTAATAACATATTAACATCTAATATTGTTACCCCAATAAATTCAATAAAAATTTAAAAATATGGGCAAAAGACGTGAATAGACGTTATTCCGAAGATGATTTACATATGGCCAACAAGAATATAAAAAGATACATAACATTCTTTCGAATTAGTGTTTTGAGTGTCTTCAGATAAATTCCTGGAAGTGGAATCGCTATTGCTGAGTCACAAGGCAGTTCCATTTTTAATTTTCCAAGGTAACGACATGCTGTTTTCCATAGTGGCTGCACCAATCTGCGTTCCCACCAACAGTGCATGAGGGTACCCCTGTCGCCACATTATCACCAACACGTTTGTTGGTTTGTTGATGATAGCCATTCTGCACCCCTATGTTCACTGCAGCATTATTTACAACAGCCAAGATTTGGAAGCAGTCTAAGGGTCCCTCAGCAGAGGCATGGATAAAACAGCTACACAATGAAATCCATTTATGCAATGGAATACTACTTGGCTGTAAAGGAGAACATTGTACCCTTTGGTCCATCCATGGATGGACCTGGAGAACATTATGTTAAGTGAAATGAGCCAGTCAGAGAAAGACAAATATCATATGATTCCACTCATATGTGGCATCTAATGAACAAACTGAACTAACAGCAGGCTGACAGCGCGGGAGGCGGGGGTTGGGGGAAGGTGGAGAGACTGAGCAAAAAAAGCAAAAAAAGAGAAAGAACTCATGGACACAGACAACAGTGTGGTTGTGTGAGATGGGTGGGTGCAGATGGAAGAGGGCGTGGGGGATACATGGTAATGGAAAAATACAATAAAAATAATATGAAAAGATGCTCACCGTCACTAATCATCACAGAAATGCAAATCAAAGCCACGATGAGATATCGCTTCACACCCATTAGAATGACCACTGTCAAAAACTAAACAAAACAAAATAACCAGTGCTAGCAAGGATGTAAAGAAATTGGAACCCATGTGCACTGTTGGTTAAATTGTGAAATGGTGCAACTACTATGAAAAACAGTATGGAGGGTCCTTTAAAAATTAAAAATAGAACCAGTACATGATCCAGAAACCTCACTTCTGGGTACATACCAAAAGAATTGAGAGCATGGTGTTGAAGAGATATCTGCACATTCATGTTCATTATGGCATTACTCACAATACACAATACACTTAGGCCAAGAAATGGAAGCAACCCAGATGTCCGTCAACAGATGAAGAGAGAAACAAAATGTGGTAAAAAAAAAAAAAAAAAGAAAAGAAATGCTATGGAACAAATAAATTAATGGCTATAAAGTATTAACTCAACAAAATCATATTTTACTAAAATATTTTATTGTAATATCTGCTGAGCCCAAAATCAATACAAAGTAGGTTATTAAAATTATTTACATGCAGATGAATGAAACTATGAAATTAATAATAGCTGAGTAAATGGCATCCACATAATTTAGCCTCTAAATCATGATACAATTTTCCAAAGATTAACAATAATAAAGAAAAAAAATGCTCATCATGGTTGTTAAATTCGCTTATTTCCGTAAAATGTCTCTTCATCAGGCATATTTAAGACAAACAATTTATTCCTTTTAAGAGTAGCTGGGGAAAAGTCTGACTTACTATTGCATACTGCATTCAGTGAACTTTACAATTGGTTAAATAGCACATTTTCCAAACCTTGCATCTATTTCCCAAACAGCTTTTACCTCAGTATTAATGTCAAAGTATACTGAACTTCATATTCTATTAAAAAAGTATCTACATTAGTTTTCAGTCAGTTTGGAATTAAAATCCATGGGGCAACAAATTCCAAAATATGTGCTATGTACATTGAGATATGCCCATCAAAACCAGTGCGTTGATGACTTTAAAAAATATATTAAGATGACAAATCTGTTTTATTATGAAATGAAAACTTTAATAATATTTTTAATTAGGCATTTTGGTAATAAATCATTATTATATACATATATATTTGACTTGTTCAGTGTATTTTTAAAAGTAAATTAATCCATTTTAGGTATTTTGAAAAAAAAAAATCATTTCTCCAGTTGTTGAGGAGCACTAAAAGCTTCGTAGACATTAGCCGCAAAATCTTTCACTTGCTCCATCATCAACAGATCCTAGGAGAGATGACAACAAAACGTTACAGCTTGCAAAATGTACACATAATTTGAATCCATTTCTGCAATCAAGAAACAAATTTAGCTCTAAGTTTTGTGGTGTTAAAGCCAAAAAGAAAACCACTTAATGAAAGGAGTATTTTTTCTTATAATAAATTTGTTGTTTAGGTCCTTATGAGGGATGCCATCTTTACACTTAGGCCAAGAGACCCTTTGCACTGCACATTATTGAGGTGGTTTGGTGGACTACAAGTAATTCTTATAACAGTTTCCAAATGGCTCAGAAAAACTTATGTGGATTCAAAGTTTAATCTAATCACTCTTTCGTTTAATCAGTCTTACTCAATGCATCCTAAAATGCTTTCCTAAGAAAGAATATAGAGTAATAGGTAGCATAGTGAAAAATCTAAATAAACCACTGTCTGTGCAGCTTTTAGTGAGCAGCTTACTGATGTAGTATTAACAGTTATATTTATTGTTAAAATGCTGTTGCTCTGCAAATGTTTTTTGATTTTTCTCAAAATTTGGGGACTTGTATCGCTGATCTGCCTCAATGCTCAATATTCTCACTAGCACAGCTGAATGCAAAACATTAACACTGTAAATTCAACTGACCACTGCCATGTATCTGGACTAAAACGCAGTCTCTCAGGTGTCGGACTCTAACATGGAGAAAGGGTCTTCCCAACCTCGTAAATTTGCTCTGATACCTTATTGCCCTCACGGGGCATTCTCTCACACTCAGCATGTGGTTTCTTTGAACAAGTATCACAGGAGAGAAGTGTAATTTTATGTTAGACAAACAAGACCACAACCAAAAATATAATGTTTTTAATACCGCAAAGCTTTCTTCTTACCTGAACAAAATGACTAGGTGTTTCACTGCAAACCGAATGGATCTGTCCATTTACTATTGGAATTATCTTAGCTAAAGGCAGGCTGACACTGGAAAGACTGAAACAGCATCACAGCAGTAAGTATTCTCTGAAATTTATCATATAGGTATTTAACATTTTAACTATGAATAAGTACCTACTGGAAAATACTACAGAAATGTGTTAATAAGAAAATAAAAATCATACATAACTCTACCACCGAGAAATAACAACTATAATTCACATCATGGTTAATTTCTTATAGTAACTTTTATACATATCTATTTTTTTTTTGTTTTTTAACACAGAACTATAACTACCCAGCAATACTGTTTTGAATTTATTTATATAACCATGTTTTTATCTTATTAAAAGTTCTTCCCAAATTTCTGTGTTTTTAATAATTATAATCTATCTGGCTGTGACAATTTATATCATCAGCTCACTAGAATTAGGCATTGAAGTTTTTGTCTAATTTTCCCAAATATAAATAACTCTTTGTAATAACATGGAACTACCAGGTCCAAGGATATGAATGTTTCTAAGGTTTAAAACGTGTGTTGCAGAACGCCCCCTGCTTCTCCAGCAGTGTGGGGGAATGTCTGCTCCATCACGCCTCTTCTCCATGTCAAGCATTATCTTTTCATCTTTGTAAAAATTGTTTTTTAATTGTTCATTTATGGTTGTCCCCATTTCCCCCCATTACTCTCCCCTGCCCCCCCCTCCCCCCATTGTCTTTGTCCATGGGTGCTTTATAGGGTCCTTGATTTAACCCCTCCCCTTCTTTCCCCCGTTATCCCCCTCCCCTCCCCTTCTGGTCAGTTTGTTCTTTATTTCCCTGTCTCTGGACCTATTTTGCTTGCTTTTTTGTTTTGTTGATTAGGTTCCACTTATAAATTGTGGAGGAATCACCCAGAACAAACAGCTGGACAACAACAAAATAAAATGAATTTTTATGTCTAGGTTACAGGCTTAGGTTTATTACATTAAATATCATACTTTATACATTTAAACCTGGGATTAGATTAGAAATTTCCTTTTAAATATAATGAAAATGCTAAAGTTACCGTGTCTAACTAGTATGCTCTGCTGGGATTTGAGGCAATGCTTAAAAAGAAAAAAGGAAGTAGGGAGGATTTATGTGTTCCAGAGGAAATTAGGCATTATTCTCCTTCACAGTACCTGAGTAGCATTTTTCAAAATCTGTCATGATTTTGTTTATTTTTTATATATCTGTGAATTTGCCTTCAACAGAAATTGAAGACACCACTATCATAGAAGGTCCATGTCTACTTTACTCACTATGTTATTCTAGCACTTAATAAAGAGCCGGGTGCACAGTGTGTGCTCAATACATCCTTACTGAACTGATTAATAAAAGTCTCCACGCGTCCATTGCTATGTCCCACCCCAGCTTCTGCTTTCCCCATTTCTTTTCCACAAAGCAATCAAAACGAACCTACAATGTATATCCCATCATGCTGCTCTCTTGCCACCTCTCTAGTGGCTCCCCAGCAGCCCAAGCCAACACCCATGATCTGCACGTGCTGAATTCTCCACCTGCATCTCACACCATTCTGTCCTTGGTTCCATCTGTTCAGCTGCCACACCAGCCTCCTTCCAGGTCCTCAAGTTGAACCTTGGTCCTCCTGTTTTCAAAGTTCTTTGCCCTGTGGCTTCTGCCCTGGATGTCAGCTGTCTAATTCTATTCCAATGCCATATTAAATAGTTGTTCATCTTTTAGTTCTTAGTTCAAATGATTTCCTCACAGCAACTCTGCTTGACTTTTCATATTGGTTCAAATACTTCTATTACATGCTCAATGTTCTTCTCCTTTACAACACTTATAGTTGTACAATGATGTTTACTGTCTATTTCCCCTACTAGATTGTAAGATCCACAGAGACCTGGTACAATGCCTGATGCATAGCAGGTGTTCAAGAAACAGATGTTAGATGAATGAACAAAGTGGCCATTTCTCTTTCTCTGCTCCTTGAGAAGTATCTTTTTATGTCTATAACTTCTTTCTTCGGGTGTTTCCTTCCTTAACTGGTGCGTATATAATGCTATTAACCTCTTTGTGTGACATATATGGATTGCAAACACTTTCTCCAACATACTATTTACATTTAATACAGATTATAAACTTGTTTGATCTGTGCGTTTTAAATTTTGCAGTAAAATCTATCATTTTATTGCCTTTATTCTTAGAAATATTTTTCTTTATTTTTGAGATCAAAGATTCGCCTGTTGTTTTTTTTTTATCAGTTCATTTGTTTTTATTGCTTAAACTTCCTGGATATATGTATTTTTTTCTATATGTATGGTACAGAAGGGCTCTAACTTTATTATTATTTTATAGTTAGTCACTGTAAAATGACTAGTTGTCTTATCATTTATGAAGTAATACATCTCTTCCTCATTTTCATCATTTAACAATACCTTATATATTTTAGAGCCTGTTTCAGGATATTATATCATATTCTACTGATTATCAAGTCTTTTAAAAGAATAACATATTATTCTAGTAACTATACTTAACATGTTATGTAGGGAAAGTACATTCATTGCTCTACTTTTTCAATAATTTCTTGAACGTTCTCCTTTTATTCCTCTAGATCATCTTTACTATCAATTTTTCAGGTTCAGAAATAAAGCAACCACTCTCTAATCATTAATGGGATTTTCATGGTACTTTGGCTACATTTACAGATTAATTTTGGGAGGCCAGCTTCACAATTTTTAGTTGTTTCTCTTGGATTTCTAAGTATTAAATCTGGTCACTTTCACAGAACAATAATTTTTGTCCTCCCTTTCCAAAACTGATATACCCTTTTGAGAAGAATTTAACTTAGAAAATCAATAGTCAACTAACAGTTTATGATATAATAATAAAAATTCAGTAAAAGTTGTCTATTTGCAAGTTAGTATACAAAAATGAATGGTTCTCAAAATTGCTCTTTCCCTAGCCTTACAACACTGGTTAGAATAATGAGTGATGCTGAATAAATATATCAATAGTGACCATCTTTTTAAAAAAACTAAAAAAAATTAAATTTATTGGGGTAATATTCACTAGTAACATTATGTAAGTTTCAGGTTTACAATTTTATATGTTCTTTGAATATTGCATTGTGTGCTAACCACCCAAAGTTTAGTCTCTTTCTGAATAGTGACCATCTTTATATGACCTCTGATTTTAATGGAGATAATTCCAGTGTTTTACTATTAATTACAATATTTGCTTTTGATTTCAAATATTCTCTTATAAAAGACAACCCAATGAATGAGAGAACATATTCACTGATACATCTGATAAGGGGTTAATAGCCAAAATTTATAAAAAAACTTATAAAACTCAGTACCAAAAAACAATCTAAAAAAAATGGGCAAAGGACCTGAATAGACACTTCTCCAAAGAGGATTAACAGATGGCCAATACACATATGAAAAGATGCTCAGTGTCACTAATCATCAGAGAAATGCAAATTAAAACCACAATGAGGTAGCATCTCAAACTGGTGAGAATGGCTATCGTCAACAAATCAACAAATGACAAAAGCTGGTAAGGATGTGGAGAAAGGGGAACCCTCGTGCACTGTTGGTGGGAATGCAGACTGAGGAAGGCAGTATGGAGGGTCCTCAAAATATTAAAAATGGAACTGCCTTATGACCCAGCGATTCCACTTCTAAGAATTTATCTGAAGAAACCTGAAACACTAATTTGAGAGACCATAAGGATCCCTATTATGTTCATTCAGTGTTATTTACAATCGCCAAGATATGGAAGAAACCCAGCTGTCCATCAGTAGATGAGTGCATAAAACAACTATGGGACATTTATATGACAATGGCATACTATTTGGCTATAAAAAAGAAGAAAATTTTACCCTTTGGGATAGCATGGATGGACATTATGCTAAGTGAAATAAGCCAGTCAGAGAAAGAAAATACCATATGATTTCACTCATATATGGAATCTAAGGAACAAACTGAACTAACAAGCAGACAGAGACAGTCTCATAGATAGAGAGCAGGCTGACAGCTCTGGGGGGATGGGGCTGGGGGTAGAGCGATCAAGCAAAAAGGAATAAAGACTCACGGACATGGACAACAGTGTGGTGATTTTCAGGAGTCATGGGGATTTAAGGGGGATAAATGGTAATGGAAAAAATACAATAAAAAAGAAACATATTCTTTTATTATATAAAGTATTTTTTTATTTCTAAAAGACATTGTTATCAACAATAAATGTTAATGAATGCCTTTTCAGCAATTTTGAAGATGTTTGTTTTTGTCCTATTACTTTATGTTATGGAATACTGTGATAGCTTTCTTAGTGTTTTAACCGTCCCTGCATTCTTAAAATAAATCCTAGTCAGTGTTGAAGAACAATGAAAACTTCCAGGTTCTAATGTGAGACAGAAGTGATTGCACACCTGGCTTTACTACTAACTAGTAGTTTGACATTAAGTTATTTAATATTTCTCTCTTAGTTTTCTCACCAGTACAAAGAAGAGAACTACCAGTACAGAGAACTTATTTCCTAGTGTTAGTTTAAAAATCCAATGAGATAATGTTCTGAAAAATGACTATCATTATACTTGTACATGGAAAAGGAAGTATTGATTGCTATAATTGTTACTATATATTTTGGATTCCATTTGCTTATATTAGTATTCTGCTGAAGATTCTTACCTCTATATTCATACTTTAAGCCTGTACAGTTTTCTTTGTAGGTCTCATCTTTCCATGTTTTATATTGGGCTATTACTGCTGATAGGAAAGTTTTTGATTTTTAAATATTTATTATACATATATTAGTTTATACACAAATGGATAGTATATACGTACATATATAATGAGTTATTATTAGTTCACAGCACTTTTAGTTGATTCTCTTGATGGTTCTGGTTATTAATTGTAACACAAATAATTAATGATATTTTGTCTCTGTCAATAGCTAAAAGTCTTTTTTCTTGACTTTTTGTAATGGCTAGAACTTCCATGGCATTTTAAACAATATGCATGACAGTAGGCATAATGGGAATGTTTGTACCACTCAATCATGTTTCATGGATATTGACATGAAAAAGAAAACTTAGGAAATTTCTACTGTGTCTAGGGTATATAATGAAATATGAAAAAGCATGACATATAGTCTCTGACCTTGAGAGGATGATTAAAATGTAACTAAGGAATAAGACTCCAGTTCAAGGTGAAACACAGGTTCTACAAAGAAGTACATACAGATGCATACTACAGGAGTTCAGGAAAGGAAGATTATCAAGAGATGTTGTGGTATTTTGTAATTCTTCAGTGTATAAGATCAAGTATTTGTTCATGTTAAAACAACTGTTATAATTCTTTATAAACACTCAGGAAATAACCAATACCTTGCTAGGTAGAGATTGCAGTGAAATTTTATGCATTGGTGCACCTTAATTTTAGGGAGTATATAGGGGCTCAAATTTACTTTTGTATAATTTAAAGAATTGCCTAAAAAGATCTTAGGATGATATTTAAAATTTTTTCAGAAGATAAATTTTATGGCTTTAAGCATTCCATATCCTCAACGTTAATTGCAAATTATCCTTTAGAGAATTAGGCAAATAATCAATCTCTTGCCCTACATATTTAAGGAGTAATTAGGATATTGCACATACATACTGCATATCATTTACTGTTTCCCTTATTTTTAATGAGTTTACAGTTAGTTAACATTGATTTAGTACCTATCATTTCCTGAGTTTATATGAAAGACAGAGGTTTTTAAAGAGGGTAAACTCTCATAGGAGATCCAAGGTGCTTACATTAAGATGATGTTATAATGAAACCATAAAATACTTTTGGCAGCATGAATCCATTACTTAGTAAAAGTTATAATTAAAATTACTAACAATTGTACTCACTAAATATTCCCAATCCTACAAGAAGGGCTGAAAATAATACATTTATGTAGTGGCAGCACTAGGAGATAATTCATCACACGGAAATCTACAACAGGAATGCCTGGCTATTACAATGACCAAAGTATTGAATTATATAGGCCAATTATGGCTTGCAGTACTCGAATAAAGTTAGAGAACACATTAAAATTTAAAACATTTTTAAAGATGATTTATTATAGAATTGTACACCTGAAACCTAATTTTATTAACCAATGTCACCCCAATAAATTCAATAAAAAGGAAAAACAAAAACAAAAAAAAACCATTTTCAGCTTTGTATTATAAAAAGTTTTAAGAAAACCCCTCAATAATTGGAATCTGGCCTATAGAAAGGCAGTTTCACAACTTAGGTACTTATCTATATTGGGAAAATTTTTGAAAAGAATGAGTTTTAATATTAAGTCCAAAATGAAGTAGTCACTGGTTTAAAAGAGCTTAATTTGTTGAAAAAGGTGCACTCAAATTTATCCTCTAAGATTTTTTGTTACCGGGAACAAAAAATGAATGCCTCAAAAGCACTATTTTATTAGAGCAGCCATTAGACTAGTCACACTTTTGTGTGCCATCTTACCTATTCATGGAGTTGCCGCGCTGCAGGTCCTGCTCCGTAGGCCGAAAGAACTCGGCCATGTTGTCTAGCAGCCTGCTAAACCCTCGGTTTAAACAGGTGTTCAAAACTGTGCTAAAATCTGGACTGTACAAAATAAGAATTAGATTTAATGGAAAAGGAAATAAGTTCAGTAACTGTGGCTACCTTTGACAGCCACCATTTCTAGTCACAATCTAGGTTTCAGAGCCTAAACACTATAAAAATATATCAATGAGTCAATCTTTAAAAGTTAGAATAAAAAAGAGCTTATTAGCATAGCACAATGAAAATATTCACCCATTTCTTTAGATTTTCTTACAGTAGCATTCTGTACAATGTATTTTTAAAATATCAATATCACTTCTCTTGAAGAAATTTTTGAAATCTTTTTATAGTCACAGATTAATGGTTTGCTTTACATCATGAAATACCGATAATTCAGAAAATTTTACTATCCCGTACAGATGAAGAACTGGATACTTGAGGGATAAAGAAATTTATCTGATGGTATGTAATCGGTAAATGGGGGAGCTAGAATTTGAACCCAAGCACTTTTTTATCTTAAAGTTCAAGATCTTTTTGTTATGCCATATTAGTACTTCACGAAAACTCTCTGATTAAAGAATAATGTATGTGTGCTATGAAAGTCAGAAAATGCCTAGTTGAACAAATTAGTTCTATCTTTGACATGCAGAAATCTCAATCCATACAAACTCATGGGAGTGTAGGGCTAGGGCTATAAATTTGGAAAGTATCAGCATAAAGACAGTTAAAGCAATGGGAGTATATAAAGCTGCTTGGAGCAATTAAGGATGAAGTAAGAACAAACACCTGGGAAACTCTGTATGTTTAAAAGACAGATAGACATAGAGGAACCTAAGAAAATATGACCTGAGAATTGAGGGAAGAATTAAGAGATTAGACTGCCATGGAAGCCACATGAGACAAGAATTTCAAGAAAGGCTGATCAATAGTGTCAATTTTCAGAGAAAGGTCAAGTAAGATGAATGTTGCGGGTTGACTGGATTTGACAAAAGTTCACTGATGACCTTTTCTGGAGCTTCACAGAGTGATTTGGTGGAAAGCTGAGTAAGAAAAAGGAGAGACTGCTACTGCAGAAAGTTAGGGGACTCTACTGGAGGCATTCAGATTCAGTAGCTGAGTTAACCTAAAAATTGGCTGATTTTCTTCAAGATCATGAAAAACTCTTATAAGCAGAGGATATAATTTCCTCAGAAAACAGAACTGGACATATGGTCTTAAATCATCTTTACTGTGAAAGCAGTTTTGATATATTAATCACTTAAGATAAAGGGGGCAAGCCTGGCACCACTACTCAGGCTTTACAGCGATAAAATTTCCTGAAAGAGTTTCAGTGGCGCAAGCAAGACTGAACGGCTAATACACGGGCGAGCCAATCTTGAGTCTAGGTGTGTTCTTCTAATGTAGAGTCTGGTGCTTTTTCTACTGTTAACACCCTGTCTCTCTTCTGGGTGATTTAAAATAGCAACACTCAAATTAGGGAAGATGTGGCATTTTGATCACTCAAAGGTTTAGGAACATTATATGGGCAGGGGGATAGTCCTGAGAGAGAGAGAGAGAGAGAGGAGAGGAGAGGAGAGAGAGAGAGGGGAGAGAGAGAGAGAGAGAGAGAGAGAGAATGACTGTGTGTACACACACAGGAAGATTAGCGGAAGCAGGCTGGCTCTGGCTTGCAAGAGCATCTCTCCTCACGTTCCTGAGTCAGTAGTGAGTGGCCCCAAAGTTGGTAATCAGAACTGCAGTGGTTACAATTTTAGTGTTTCTTTTTTACAAAGCTGGTTTACAAACATTGACTATTTACTAGTACACACTGGGTATACCAGAATCGTCTTTGAAAGATTTTTTCATAATATAAATATTAACTATATTCCAGTCCCTCAACGAGTATACAGAATCTCTAGGCTAGAGAAGTAAGTGGGCCAGGTAAGGGCCTCTTGAAAAAAAAAAAAATCTGTTTCCCTCTCTGCCCTAATGAGAGAAGCACCAGTTTAGGTAGGAAATCCTACCTAAAGGCAGAAAAATAGATTCAAAATTTAATTTTAACAAAAGATTATGTTGAATACGTTGTTCAAGAAAGACTAAAAAATGGTCATAGTACAATCAAAATAGAAACACGTGTTTTCTGTTACATGCAGTATACATACCTTTCCAACATGTCCCTGGTTTCATTGAGCAGCTTAATAGTGGTAACATCTCTAGGAGAAAGCCCGCAGGCCTGTGAAATGAAAATGCCACACTTCAGGCTTCAAATATCAGCACAGAGCTATGATGAAACTAGTCATATTAATAAACTCAAGAGTTGAAGAAATCTAAAAGTCTACATTCTATCAACAATTAAAAAATGTTAAACTCAAAAAGAACTGTAAAGGTTTATGTGATTTTAAAAGATGAGACAAAGTAAAATTGTACTTTGTAAAATCTTTATTTATCTGGGCCCTCTTGGACACGTTTCTAGGATATATTTACAAAGAAAAAAATAGTCTTTGAGGTTGCAAAGGCCTGAGATTATTTTTTCTTTTATCAGTAAGACACTTTAGCAGGATACCTTTGTGTCTTTTTCTTCAGTCTATGCTGTTATGGGGCTCTGTGCATCCTTTTAATCTGAAGTTTTAGGTTTTAACTCAACTTAAGTAAGATTTTGTTCATCCTTCCTCTCTTCACCTGTTCCTTTGAATAGCTTTCTTTTTCAGTTCAACTGTTGAAGTTTAAAATTTGGAAAATGTTTTATCATCCCAGAATGCTTTTTTAATACTGTTACTGCATCTCCTTGAGATTCTAATTTGTAAGCAAGTTTTCTCCTGTTTCTTTGATTAATTCTGTCCCATCAGTTCTGCTTGTTCATCTTAGCCACCATCCTGCATGGGAGCCTCACATGGGTGGCGGGCTTTCTGGCCTACTCATGACTTCAGGGCGTCTCAGCACATGACAGGTCTATCTTTGGGGTCTTCAGGGGAGGGGAAAGCTTGCAGGCAATTAAAAATACATCATTCTTTGTTCTAATGCTGAGGTATGGCATCGGGACCTTTCTGTCTAAGGCTTTTCCAGCTGTCAAGTGAGAGATCTCTTTTCTCAACTGCAAAGCATGGGTGCAATCCACTTACATATGAAACAACCAATAATTATTTTAAAATGAGGTATATAATCTTCAATCTTTGGCATTTTTATTATTCTTAACCAATGAATGACTTAAATCACAACTGCTTGGGACACCTAGGTGTGCAGCAACACCATAGTGGATAGTTGTTAGATTAGGCCTTCTTTGTTTCTCAACAGGGTGACAGCTACCTTCGGTCCATTTTGATACTGCCATCATTGGTTTACTTTAGGAAAAGCAAATGCGATCGTGGAGCTGGCCTGATTAAAATTTACCTTTCTTTGTCTATAAGTTTAAGTTCAGACTCTTCACCATGGCATGCAAAGCTCCGCATGTTCTTGCCCCCTCTCTCAGTTCTATCTTCTGCTGCTTGATCTCACAGAAATATGCTCTGGCCACATGAACGGAACTTGTCTCCTGAGCTCCCCAGTGTAATGAACATGTCCTCTTCATTTTATATCCTGATCACACACCACAATATCTGTGACATAACTAACACTCAATAAAAATTTGCTGAAATCTAAAATTATAAATGTTTCTAACCAGAAATCAGTCATATATGAAATGTTTTCTAAATTAGAGGTTTTATTTAAATTATTGAAATATATATTTTTCAATCACATACCTTTTAAGAGACTCAGAAATCTAAATTTTAAGAGACAATAAAAAAAAATATAAATATATTGAGTAACTGGTTTGGTTAAATGGTTATGAATTAAGTACCTGAGCTGCTAATGGAGTTTCTTCATCTGGCATCATATAATGGCACAGGAAAGATTTGGATCCATCTTTATCAATCCAGGAAGAAGATTTATGCTGCTCAATGAGATTTCTGATTTCTTTTAGCTTTTGCTCCAAGTCCAAAAGGGACAAAGAATGTTTGAGGGAAACACTGGAAACAGAGAAAAGGAAATTAGGAATTAACTGGAACTCTATGATACATCCTACGCAGTCTTTTCCTACAATCTACTATCTGAGATCCTGTTTCATCCAGTCAAACCTGAAACTGCTGACTGTGAGATCTCTAGAGCAGATGAAGAAATCAGCCATCAGTTAAGGGGCACTATTTATTACAGAGCCAAGAAAGATCTTCCTGCATATTTCACAAGAAAGCTCCCATTGTAATTTTAGGCATTACCAGTATAATAAGAGATAAACGCCTTACAGGCAGATTTTAAAGTAGGTCTTTTATCTCATGATCCAAATAGTTCTGGTTTGTTTGGAGATCAATCAATAAACAATGAAACAGTAAGGCTTTCCCCTTAGTATCAAAAGGTTGGCACTGATGAGAAAATGGATTCCACAATGCAATATCGAGGGCTGTCTCTCTCACTAGGATACAAAGAATTTCAGGAACCACCATTTGTGGTGTTACTAGTGTTTGACAAGCTACTAGCTCCGCTAGGAGGACTCTTTTTTTCTTCTATTCATTAGAATCAGGAAGTCAGAAAAGCCCAAGAAAAATGTCTTACTTTCCTAAAATCTTCTGCACAGCTTGTTTAATGACACTGATCAATTCTGTCAGGCCTGTTAAAAGAAAAACAAACATAAAAGCCTTGTTTATTTTTCAAATTGCTCAATAGTACAAAAAAATGAATTACCATTAATTTACAGTTTGCAAATACAAATCGTACCGTCTCCAAGGAGGTGCTGAATACTTGATAAATACTGCTGCTGGACATCTGGGGGAGCTAGGACTGTCTGTATGAAATAGAAGTAGCTTACATTACCCAACATTATCAGTAAATAAATAGTATTTTCAGTGTGACTTGAGCTGAGATTTTCAGGACCTGGACTAATAAGCAAAATAATATTCTTAAACATAACAGAAAGTCTAGTTTAAAAATATAAAAATAATAATGCTAAAAGTTTACAATCATATGAAATAAGAAGATATTTAATTTATAGAAATTATAAGAATAAGTAATATTCAGTTCAAGTTTGAACCACTTGCAAGGGCAATATCTGTTTAAGTCTATTCAACTTACGGTGCCATTTTTGCCAACTGCTGCATTATCCAGGTAGATATATCCACCAATAATGTTTAACTGGACTCGCAAAAGGACAACCAGCATACAAGTACTATATACAGCCACAATACTTCTCGTGAAACCTTCAGAGAGAAAACAAAACCATTTGGTACTATTATTAAAACACAAATAAATGTGTAAAATGATAAATCATCCCTATGGTTATTTTTTCATAGGATGACTTAAAAATACATTTGTAACGGTTTCAAGTGCAAAAATATATCAATTCAAAATATTTCAGTCTATTTTCTTACATCTTTTTAATGTAGATTAGCTATGATCTCTTACTAAAACAATAACCAATATATTGAGTGAAAGGTTATATACTATTAGCTTTAAAAGGAAAAATAAGGCCCTGGCCAGTGTGACTCATTTGGTTGGAGCATTGTCCCATAAACTTAAAGGTCTGGGGTTTGCTATCTGGTCGGGGCACACGCCTAGGTTGCAGGTTAGTCCCAGGTCCAGGTGCACGAGAGGCAACCAATCGATGTTTCTCTCTCACATCCATGTTTCTCTCTCTCTTCTTTTTTTAAAAAATATTTTTATTTTTTTAATTCGTTTATTCTGTTACAGCTGTCCCGATTTTTCTCCCTTTGCCCTCCTCTGCCCAGCTCCCCCCTCCTGCTCCCCCAGTCCCGGTACTGTTGTCCATGTCCACGGGCCATTCATGCATGTTCTTTGACTAATCCCTTCCCCTTCTTTCCACCAGTCCCGTCCTCCCCATCCTCCCTCTGGCAGCTGTCAGTCTGTTCCATGTGTTCATATCTCTGGCTCTGTTTTGCTTGTTATTTTATTTTGTTCATTAGATTCCTCTTATAAGTGAGATCATATAATATTTGTCTTTTACCTCCTAGGTTATTTCACTTAGCATAATATTCTCCAGTTCCATCTGTGCTGTTGCAAAAGGAAAGATTTTTTTCTTTCTGTCTCTCTTTTTTCTTTCCTTCCTTTTTCTTTTTCTTCCTTTCTCTCTTTTTCTTTCTTTCTTTCCGTTTTTCTTTCTTTCTCTTTCCTTCTTTTTCTTTCTCTCTTCCCCTCACTCTCTGTGCTATAGTATCCATTGTGTACACGTATTACAGTTTTTTAATCCATTCATCTACTGATGGGCACTTAGGCTGTTTCCAGCACTTGGCTATTGTAACTAGCACTGCTATTAAAACAAGGGTGCGTATGTCCTTCTGAATTGGTGATTTGGGATTCTTAGGGTATATTCCCAGCAATGGAATCACTGTGTCAAAAGGCAGTTCCATTTTTAACTTTTTGAGGACATTCTATACTATTTTCCACAGTGGCTGCACCAGTCTACATTCCCACCAACAGTGCACTAGGGTTCACTTTTCTCCGCATCCTTGCTAGCATTTGCTGTTTGTTGATTTCATAATGATAGCCATTCTGTCAGGTGTGAGGTGCTATCTCACTGTGATTTTAATTTGCATGTCTCTGATGGCCAGTGATGTTGAGCATTTTTCATATGTCTATGGGCCATCTGTATGTCCTTCTTGGAGAAGTTTCTATTTAGGCCTTTTACCCACTTTTAAATTGGATTGTCTGTCTTCCTGGTGTTGAGTCATATGACTTCTTTATGTATTTTGCGGGTTAAACCCTTGTCTGATGTATCATTGGCAAATATGTTCTTGATGATTGTTTCTTTAGCCGTGCAGAAGCTTTTTAATTTGATGTAGTCCCATTTGTTTATTTTTTCCTTTATTTTCCTTGTCCTAGGAGATGTGGGATATCTGGAAATTTACTGCTTATGTTTTCTGCTAGGATTTTTATGGTATTAGGACTTATATTTAAGTCTTTTATCCATTTTGAATTTATTCTGGTGTATAGTGTGAGTTGGTGGTCTAGTTTTGCTCTTTTGCCTGTACCAGTCCAGTTCTCCCAACAGCATTTATTCAAGAGGCTAATTTTACTCCATTGTACACTTGTCCCCCTTTTTTCAAATATTAATTGACCATAGAGACATGGGTTTATTATTACTCTCTATTCTGTTCCATTAATCTGTATGTCTCTTCTTATCCCAGTACCAGACTGTTCTTGGATTACAGTGGCCTTGTAGTATAGTTTGGTAGAGGTACTGTGATCCCCCCAACTTTGTTCTTTCTCAAGATCGCTGAGGCTATTCAGGGTCTTCTTTGGTTCCATACAAATGTTTGAAATACATGTTCTAGATCTGTGAAATATGCCATTGGTATTTTAACAGGAATTGCTCTAAAAATTAATAAGCCTGCCCTTGGATGAGGATTAAAAATAAATAAATAAGTAAAAATAAAAAGGAAAATAAGGAAGGAGTGGGAAGCACTAAGAGTTGTAGCTTCAGAAGCCTGACTTGTCCAGGGAGCTAGTGCAGAGTGCACGAGGGCTAAGCGTGAATGTCTGGAGGAAGGTGCAGAAACACAGAGACGCGCCTGGAGTGGAGGTTTGGCAGTAACACCGGGCAGTATTCAAAAGGAGGAGCGAGTGAAGGAGTTGATGGTTGCCATGAGGTCTAGCAGGAGGAAAATGCCCAGTGGATTTAGCAACATAAAAATTACTACTAATGTTGCAAGATCTGCTTGGGTGGAGGCCTGGACGCCAGGCCTTAGTGTGTCAAAGAGTGAGTGGGAGTGAGAATATGGGAATGTAGAAATCTTTGTTACTATCTAAGTGTGTGAGAATGCGTAAAGCTGAAAGGAAATACACGGTACTGCAAATGTTTACTTTCAAACGGGAAGGCTTAAGCATGATTCAGTTGATAAAGATTAGGTGAATGGATGGGAAAATGGAGGGATAATTGATAGTAAAAAGTTCTAAGACATGGTTGTATACGTATTAATATATATCTATATGCTTACCCCAGGGCAGCTCTTTGCTTCAAACTTTTATTACTAAGGAAAATTTGTACACAGTAGCAAAATAAAGTTACTAGCTGAGTTGGAGTAAAAACTTCTTTAAAGTATAATATTTCAGATATCAGTACCTAGTATAAGCAATATGTAGGGCAGGTTTACACATTATCGTAATAATAACAATAGTCCACCAACATCATTAACAGTCACTAAGTACTTTCTATGGCCAGACATTTGATCTACCTATTTTATTAGAATTATTTAATCCTGACAACTCTACGAGGTACAGAGTCATCCACATAGCAGTACAAAACTTCCCCTTTAGAAAAGTTTTAAGGAGGTGCTGTCACAGGGCATGTAAACTTACTTATTATCTTCAGATCCTCCCATATTTCTAGCTTGTTTGAAGGCCTAAAGAAAAAGAAAGAGAACATATGAAAATAATAATTAGATAATCTAACAGAAAACTTTGAACTTTATAGCTATATATTTAATTACAGTTTATAACAGGGTAACTGTAGAAAACAAAGCCCACAAAATCTAGTAAGAAGAACCTATAATTTCAGTAACCAATGATAACAACTGTTTTCACTGGTACATTGGTATATACCTTTCCAGTCTTTTACCTCTTTCTGAGCATATGCCTATATATGTTATAAACTCATACAGGAAGAACAGAAAAAAATGTTTATTTCTTTCCCTCATTTACCATTTTACACATAATGAAGGAGGTCTTCTAATCATTGAAAGGTAAATAATGAAGTATTTTTTTGTTTTAAAGTATTATTACAAACACATGAATTTAAATATATATAGAGAGAGATGCAGATATAGATTAGATATAGATATTTAGTATGTTTTAACTCATTGTAGTTATTCTTACTGATGTTTAAATTGTCCCCCGCTGACCAAGGCAGGGACTACTCAGGTTGGTTCCTGAATCCCTTGGACATGAGCTCATTTAGTCTCTAATAGCTTCCTTGCTTATTGACACGGAAAGCTGTTCTGTGTTTAACTTGCTCATTTCTTGCTGCAGACCTGAAATTGGCCATTTCTCCGAGACTCTTACTCCCCGGTTGCAGGAAATGGTAACAGGAGACAGCAACCTTTGGTTAAAGATTAAAGATACCCATTGCCACTGGGTAGCAATTCCAAGCCTTTTCAGTAGACTAGGCTAGTAAATATATGTATATTTATGTATTCATATAAACATATATTCAAAGAGATAAAATGTATCATGAATTCATTCTAATTTTACTTTTTAAAAATTTTTGTTTGTTTTAGAAAGAAAGAAGAAGGGAGAGATGGAGAGAAACACTGAATTGTTGTTCCAGTTATTTATGCATTCACTTGCATGTGCCCTGATTGGGGACTGATCCCACTACCTTGGCGTATCGGACCAACACTCTAACCAAATGAGCTACCCAGCCAGGGCCACTTTTAATCCTTTAGTGTCACTAAAATATCTGAAGAGTTAAACTGCTCCTCAAAGTGTTCGACCTCTCTTGTGACAGATGATACTTAAGATTCTTACTGGTGCTGGCCAGGTAGCTCAGTTGGTTAGAGCATCGTACTGATACGCCAAGGTTGTGGGTTCGATCCCGTCAGAGCACATACCAGAAATATCCAATGGATGCATAAGTAAATGGAACAAATAACAAGTTGTTTTTTCTCTTTCTCCCTCTCCTCCTTCCTCTCTCTAAATTCAATAAACTAAACAATTAAAAAAAAAAGATTCGTCACTCATTGAAACATTATCAATGTTCAATAACAATGCCTAGTACTAGAAACAGTGATGAATGTTTATTTGCTATTATAAAACTGACAAATTAAGACTATCAAGTCTTTTATTTATTCCTGACTAGTAATTATCATAATTAGTTTAAAGAGAAAGTTAACTTGCTTGACAGGCTTATATGAGACCTTAGTTGACTGAAAACTAATACAAAAACAATCATTAGATTAGAGGCCTTATTGAATCACACTTTGTAAGGGCTCAAGCTCCTCTTTATGCAAATACCTTTCAAATGGATATTTTTTTTTACTCCAATCTACAAATAGTAACTTCAAATCAAAAGGAAAAAAAACACTGAGATATAAAGAGGAAACAGTGAATGAGAACTGCTGCTCACCTTAAACTCGTAGGAACTTAAGAGGAATGACATGTTTCCTTCAAAGCTAGCCAGGACTGGCCTTCCAAATTAAGCCGTCTTCTCTAGCCTGCCACCTTTTCACCCCACAGTTGGCTTTTCTTTCTTTTTTTTCTGACCACAGGTCAAACGTAATGTGTCTTGAATTATAATTTATTTCATTTACTTCCTCCCTTGATGGCAGTATCTTCAAGGGAATTATAGTTTATTTCATTTACTTCCTCCCTTGATGGCATTATCTTCAAGGGAAATATGGCAATATCTTACCTTATCTTAATTATCACAAGGAGCAGAGTCACCAGGAAGGAAGAATGCCTCTATGTTTACTGTGTGTTTTTATGTTGCTTTTATAAAGGTGCTGTTCACTTTTTTCATGTGTCTTGTTTCCCCAATAAGACTAAAACTTAAGACAATTAAAAAATATTTTTATTCTCTACTTATGTACATATGTGTGATAAGTATTTATTTGAGAGTAATCTGCTTATATGTTTCTTCTTCATATAATTATATAAACTAACTTCTAAACTGAACCTTACATCTGTATGTAATAGTGAAATCATGTCAACCTCTAAGAACGATGAAATTCAGTAGCAAAATCCCTCAACACTAGCATTACACTTTCATCAGATGAAATCTCAAGTACACAAATCCACTGTTACTTTGGGAGATATTCTCTGAATATAGAAAATGTTTCAAGAAATGTTCCAGCTTTCTATTGAAGCTGTCTGAGCAGCAAATTCCTATGTGCAAAATGAATGATAATATCCGCCTCACAAGGATATTGTGAAAATTAAATGGCAGCAAGTGTGAAAATTAATTCGATGTGGAAAGGAAACGGGAGCACCTAGCACTGGGCCTGGCACAGAAAGACAGCCTGGAAATGGCCCTTCCTTCCCCAGGGCGCTGGGGGACAATGACAAGGAAAGTAAGTATTTCAGGAAGGCCACAATGATTAAAGTTTATTAATTGAAGCCATTTCCTTCTGAAACCCTTTTCCAACTTACACAGCGCCACACTAAATTACGATACCCTAACGCATACTGCACTCCGTATCCAAGGTCCCACGTGCGAAAGTGCTTTGTACCCCGTAAACTGTCACAGTAAGGTAACATCATTACGGTGTGCTCACGCTACACTTGTGCTTCATTTTGTCAGGAGTATAAAAGGCAAGTTCATATGCCTTATTTATCTAAAACTTGTGTTCACATGCTTTACCTATTACATTGTAAACTTTTTAACAAGCCCAATATTCGACATCACTTAGCTTCATAATATCTGGTTCAGAAACACATTCCCTAAGCACTCAGTAATTACATTTCTGAATAACGCCAAAATGAGAGAAGATCTATTTCTATAAAAACCAGAATGCATATAAATATTTGTTCACCTAAATACTTTATGCATCAGGATAGAGCATAAACAAATGGACAAAATAAAATATGAACTGAATATGATATAATTAGTAAATTTTTTTTCTAAATAAGCCTATATATTATAGACTTTACTTAGAAAAAATAAGGAAACAAAGATGTTTGAAAAGGATTTCAGGTGGTTGTACAAACTTTAGGTGCAGTATATACACAAACAAACGCGGTCCCTGGCGGTTACCTGTGCTTCAGCAGGGCTGTGAGGCTCTCGGAATTGAGCTGCTGCATTAAGGCCTCCCTCAGGGTCGGCAGCATGGACAGCACTGAGACAAGACAGAAAACAAAGCAGGCCATGGGTGGGAGGGCGCCCCGCCGAGGGGCGCACCCTGTTTCAGCCCCTGTGGCAGGACTAGCAACTAGCAAGGGTCGGGAGGGCAGGGCAGGGCGAGGGCTTCCAAGTTAATAATAACAATAATAATAATGGATTATATGCTAACAAATCATTCATCTGCTATGCTCAGTGAACAAAATTTTATATACACTATGATGACAGCAATATAAATAAGTACACAGAGAAAAAGTAGGAGAAGAATTATTCCCAGATGCTAAGAGCGGTAGTCTCTGGGCTATGGCTTACAGATAATTCTTTTTTTTCCTCTTCTTTTCTGTAGTCTCCAATTTTTTTTACAATAAGTGTTTACTTCTGATATAGTAGAATTGATTACAAACAACATTTCTATCTTCAGCTATGCTTTTTGCTTCGCATTTTATTTCTAATTTTAGAAAAACATTTATTTATTAAACACTGCAAGTGATAAGCATTCATTTTAACTTCGGCAACAGTGCACAAAGCTGGGAATGAAGAGCTGCTGGGCTGCGCTTCCGGCTCTGCCAATGGCTGCTGCCTGCCGCTCCCAAGGATAACGCGAGGATGAAATAAGACACGGGGCTCTATGGAAAAGAGGCTGCGTGTAATTTACAGCTGTTTTATTTATGGGTCGATGCATGATATAAGAAATTTTGGAAAAAATGTACACATGTGAATTTAAAATGAGTTTATAACACTAAATAAGTAATGACAAAATGAAAAAAAATATCAAGATGTTTTAAATACCACATTCTAAAAGGGAAAATTTTAGTGTATAATTTTTCCTTCTTACCTAGGCATGACCTTAATTACAAAATCCACATTATGTTTTTTTATAGAAAGTTCAGCTTTTAACCAACTCTAGATGTTTATTTCAGCGCTATATGTACTATGTAGCTTCTGTGTATTTCCTCAAGCCGTATGATGAAATCACCTAAGCCTGGCAGGGGAACCCAAACTTTTGGCATCCCTGGGTCACGTTGAAAGAAGAGTTGTCTTGAGCCACAGGTTGAATACACAAACACTAAAGAAAACTGATGAGCACAAAAAAAGGTCTTAAGTAAATTTACGATTTTGTGTTGGGCCGCGTTCATGGCCATCCTGGGCTGCATGTGGCCTGCAGGTTGCAGCTTGGACACCCCTGAAGGTATTCAGACTATTAACTAAAGGAGGAGTAAAAGGTGACTAATAGCTCTTAAGTCTACTTGGCATCTATATTTGGCCCAACATGATATGTTACCTTACCAAGAAAAAGCAAGGTTAGAGTCCTACATTCAGCAAATGCAGTCAGTAGGGAACTGGTTTAAAGATTATGTGGTGTCACAACATGATTTGAGAAGTGTCTTCAATAATTCTCCTTAAAGGTTAAGAGTTTTTTACTTCCCATTTCAGCCTACTGAACCAAAGACAAGTCTGTTCTTTGGTTCTAGCCATTTGTATGAACACTGAGCAAATATGTTTCTGTATCTAGTTGAATACAGTATTCATGTATTCTTTTAGCCATCTGGTCTCCATGATAAATATGCCCAGTTTAACCACAAATTACAAGACAACCCTTCACCAGCTGTGAATCTGTGTGACCCTGAGCAAGTTACTTAATCTCTTTGTGCCTCAGTATCCTTCATCTGTAACTAAGGAGAGCACTGGACTATCTTAAAGGACTGTTGTAAGGATAGAGGCATACAAAGCATTTAGAACAGCGCTTCTTTGCACATTTTATTTCTCATTGCCTTACCTGTCATATTGCAAGTCCTCTGGTTACTTTCAAAATGATACTGTCGCCGTGCTTGGGCAATATATTCTGCAGCCTCCTTTTCTTGTATTTCTCTGATTTTCTTCTGTCCATACTTCCCCAGGATATATACTCCTAAAAGTGTATATTTAAAATAAGCTAGTGTATTAATGCAATAATTAGTGTATCAAAAACTCCAATTAGTACTTTTAACCTGCTTTATCTAAACACAAGGCTTATATTAGCAAAAAGCTAAAAATTACACTTTTAAAAACCTAAATTGAAGAATTATGTAAGAATTGTGACCTAAAAAGAAGGAAAAGGAGATTGTCATTTTAACAGCCAACGACAGATAGGTACATAAGGACTAGGTCTGAAAAACAAAGGAATAAGTCTACGAAGTTCTGCAATGCTTTTAACAGTAAACTGGAGATATTCTCAACAACCAGCAACAAGAATTGCTTAAATAAATTAAGGTGTATCCATACAATAGAATGTGATGTAGCTATTAAAAACTACATTACCAAAAAGTTAATGACTCAAGGAAATGTCCATGTGTTATTATTATATGATAAAATAAGATCCTGGAAGTTTTGTTTTTAAGGCAAGCAGATACATAGAAAAAGAGGTGGGTTTTAATTTCTAACATATAATAAATAATGATCGGTGTTGAATAGTGGGCGAGCAGGTGATTTTTTTTCTTCTATTTGCTTCTCTATATTTTCCATATTTTCTTTATTTAGTATATTACCTTGAAAAAATATGAGATAAAATGTAGTACCAAAGAGGACATTGGGATTCACAGAGCTTATAGAACAAGTTTATCACACTGTCTTACTATGTGTGTGAACAGACGCTTTTATGTGTGTACCAGAATTTGTTTCATGATAACCTGGCAACAAGGTTGTAGGGGAGTAACTAATTCTCACCTCCCTCCAACAGTCTGGCGCCCCTAATATCTGCCAAAAAGAACCTTAGAGTTGTGCGTGATGCACACAATTGAGTTTGGTCTGTTTGTCACGGACGGGAGGAGGCCTTCCTCCGGGAACCCTAAAGCAAACACATGTCCGAATTATTTTCAGGAACATAAGCATTAGAGATGAAATGATAACACATTTTTCTTAAAAATAATAGTTCATTAAAAGGGTACATGCCACAAATAATTAGGCAGAAATAAAGTATGATCGCTATTATGTTCATATGCAAATAAAGGCATTTTAATCATGCTTAAAGAACAAATAAAATATGAGGTCTCTTCATAGCTAACTTTCTTTTAATCTGTCCTAAATAAACTGATGACAGTGCCACAACGCCAACCAAATTAAAGAAACTGACTGATGTTTCACACAGTGACCCTTTCGCAGGCAACTGCTGCATAACAACTACTTCTCAGTGAATTGCTTACATTTTATTTAAGCAACAGATTGCTAAAAGTTTTGTGTAAAATTACTTCTCAAACAATAATAATAAAGTGAAATGCTACAATACTGCCTTTTGTAGAGCTAAGACTTTTCTGGAATAATAGTAAATTTGATTGGTATATATGTGTTTTCCAGGGGGAAGGTCCATGGCTTTCATTAGATTCTCAGCGTGTCTGATAAAAATTCTTTAGGAACCACTGTATTTGTTTGATAAATGTAATATATTCTAACTAAAGCTAAAAAGAAGAAAGTGAACTGTTATGGGCTGAACTATGTGCCCTCCCAAAATCCCATGTTGAAGCCCCAGGAGTTCGGAATGTTGCTTTGTTTGGAGAGGGAATCTTTACAGAGGGAAGCAAGTTAAAGGGAGGTCATTAAGGCAGCCCTGGCCCACAGGATTGGTGTTCTTAGAGAAGAGAAAATTCAGGCACAGCCTGTGCAGGCAGATGATGTAAAGACATAGGGAAGTGGAGGAGAAAGCGGGTCTATACCTGACTGACAGGAACCTCACAGGGTACTCAGACCACAAATTCCTGGCTGGGCAGGTCTGGTGCACAGTCACACCCAAGCCTATAAAAAGGTTTATCTTTACCTTAAATTGCCTGTCCATTGTTCTTGTGCATCTAGGTTAACACACCTTTGAAATGCCAGACCTAACCTCGTATTTAGACACCTCAGAGGAGTAAGCACCCTGGAGGGAGTGTGCTTACTGTTAAACTGTACCTTGCTTTCTCTCTCCTTCGTTTAATCTCCTTTACATTCCCTCCTTAATTCTAAATGTATAAAAGCAACTGCAAACCTGTCATTCTCTGGAACATCTGAGATGTTGCCATGTTGTCATGGCATGTTGTCAGCTTGGCTGAAATAAACTCATAAAAATTCTCTACAGGTTTGATGTTTTTTACTTCAACAGGGAAGAGATTGCTGCCTCCAAAGCCAAGGGGAGGGTCTGGAACAGATTCTTCTTTCACAGACCTTAAAAGGAACAAATCCTGCTAACTCATCAGTCTTAGTCTTCTTGCCTCTAGAACTGTGAGACAATACATTTGTGTTGCTTAAGCCACTCAGTTTGTGGCACTTTGTTACGGTGGTCCTAGAAAACTAATACAGGGAATTAGACTAAATTTCCACAATACATTATTTTTCTTGAATTAGCATTAAAATAAATTTTTACAGAAAGTCTAATTTTCCCAGGCTTTTATTCCCAAAATTCATCAAATCTGATTTTGTCACATTTGTCTCCCTGGGAAAATAAGAATGAAGAGAATTAATGAGCTAAATTATGAAGCTCAGGATCCTCTATACACTTACATCAGAATTACTTGAGGTACTTGTTAAAAATGTAGCGTTTAGGGAAGTTCCTTGAAAACATTTCCTATAAGAGCTCAATAAATATTGGCTGAGTGAATTAATGAATTAATAATCCTGGAAAAAAAAGAATTCTATGCTTTTATTAAACCCCTTAAGTGATCTTTATCCACACCAAAATCTGAGAAGCACTGATACACAAAATAATGGCCAAATTCTGTAGACTGACATAGTGAGAAAGGCCCTTCACAATCCGCACTCCTGCAAGTTCTCCAAATCCATTTTTTGGCATTCCTCATTTGTCCTCTGGGGTTAGCCAGAGCAAAATACACTTTGACTCATCAAAAGGAATGTCTCTGAATCTGCTGAACATCGCTTTTTCCTTCTCCTTTGCTATCTGTACAACTTAAGTGGGTTGTGGAGTGAAGCTTATCAGACACCTTCATGCTTCTCTCTCCTCTGTGCTCCCCACAGCACCCTGCTCTATTATGATACTATAATACTATCATTGTACTGCTTTTGTTTATTTCCATTTCTGCTTTCTGGACTCTATGTACCATGAGTTCCTCAAAGTCAAGAACACTATCTTATTCTTTTTGTATTCCCAGAGCCCAATATAGGATATAGTGAGAGTAGGTACTATATTTTCATTCAAATGTTTGCTGAATGAATAAATGAACGAAAAACTTGAGAGACCAGAGTTACAAGGGTTAAGATAAAAAGTATAAGTTAATGCTCTGGGATTTTTAGAAATCGGTAAGTCAATGAATCTGAATCTGGTTGTTCTCTGTTCTGTAACACTTTCTCTAGTGTGATTCTCAACGTGTGGTGGGAGCATTACTGGAGGAGTTCAACACCCTTTCAGGGGCTCTGAGAACCAAAACTATTTTCACAATAGTACTAAAACATTACTTGCCTTTTTCATTCTCATTCTCTCCTGAGATTATTTTTTAATTTTTTTTAAAAGATTTTATTCATTTATTTTTAGAGAGAAGAAGGGAGAGACGGAGGGAAACATCAATGTGTAGTTACATCTCACACACCACCTGCTCGGGACCTGGCCTTCCACCCAGGCATGTGCCCTACACTGGGTATTGAACTGGCAACCCTTGGGGTCGCAGGCCAATGCTCAGTCCACTGAGACACACCAGCTAGGGCTCTCCTGAGTTTATAGTGGAGTATTCTAGAGGCTACATGACCTGTGGCACTACAAATGACTAAGTACAAAATGAGATATGACAACCCAGCTTTCTTCAATTAAGCCAGAGAGTAAAGAGACTTGCAAAAGTGTAAAACAATGGTACTCTTCCCTAATTTAGAAGAAGATTTATGTTAATGTTCTGGGTTTACTATTGTTATTTTTAAATTCATATTTTAAAAATTTCTTGGTTGTAATTTCTAATATGGCAACTATTAATAGATACAAATTGTAAAAGGTTCTTTAGACACCTGAACTTTTAAAAATGTAAAGAAGACCTCTACCAGAAAGCTTGAGGACCAAAGCTTAGTTTTTACATAAACTGGTCAAATTGTACAAATTGGTCTCAAGTGGTTATTCACCCCAAATGCAGGAAATTCTTACTTAAGGCCTGTAACTCAAAGTTTTTATTTCGGTTATTTTCCTACCACTGGATGGCTAAACCTGTTTGAGCATGCATGTTGATATCTAGCTTTCAAACCTGTCAATATGTGTCTTCCATTAAATCCTTTCTTGAATTTTTATAACTTTATATGCCATCTGCCAGTTTGATCTGTGTGACATTTTTTCAGCTCTTATTATTTTGCCTTTTAATTACATGTATATTTGTTGGTATGCCGTGAATGTCTGTGTGCCCTGAATCCATATATTGAGATCCTGAGGCCTGATGTGATGATGTTAGGAGGTGGGGTCCCGGGGAGGTGCGCTGCTCATGAGGGAGGGGCCCTCATGAATGGGATTAGCACTCTTATAAAGTGGATTTCACAGAGCCCCTTCTGCCTTATGAGGATGTAACAAATGTGCAGCTTGGAAGCAGGTCCTCATTCAGCAATGCTGGGCACCCCGATCTTGGACTCCCAGTCTCCAGAACTGTGAGAAATAAATTTATGTTGTTTATAAGCTGCCCAGTCTGTGGTATTTTGTTATAGCAGCCTGAATGGACTAAGACACTTATTTTTCAGTCCTACCTGAGCATAACGTCCATAAAGGCAAAGTGGTATCATGTGGAAAGAGGATGTGCTTTGGGATCTAACACACCTGGGTCTGAATTCTAGCTTTCTCATTACTAACTGAGACCCTGAGCAAGTTTCTTAAATTCTTAGGGCTCTAGTTCCCACATTCTTGAATGGGGATAACAATAACTACTCTGTTGTCATCCCCACCGAATATAAGAGCTTAGCACAGTGCCCACTGGGCACCCAATAAATGGTAACAACTACTGTGGAAAATCTCTATAAATCTATTTCCAATCACATTACCTTCAATACTATAGGCACATGATAAATATTTCTTAAATTAGATTAATTGAAATGTAACATTATAGGACCTTTCTATTGAAGCAGTAAACAAACAAACAAACAAACAAACAAAAAAGAGGTTCAAACAAATGCCATAAGGTCACCTTCTTTTTTTTCTTTTAGATTAACTTTTTTTAAAAAAAATTATAAGACACTAGGACTATTTTCTCTTTGTCTCTCTGAACCTTTTTTTCTTTCTCATTCCTCTTAATCTGCAACTATAAAGCTCTCAATAGATTTTTGGAAAAAAAATCTGTAACTGTCTCTTAAGAATAATCTCTTGCTTCCCCTGTGATTACTCCTAATCTACCATTAGATTTTTCTATACGTTTGGAGGGGTACGATAGTTTTTCTGAGATTGCTAAAGGGAGATTCTTTCCCTTCCTTTAGTTGTGGCAAAAATACTTTATTTATACTTCTTCTATCACATATGTGTCTTTAGCATCTACAAATATTGATAAAATGGACTCAATGGTCTTAATGTAATCTAAATATACATTAGATGTCCATGCCTGAAAATATTGGAAAACATTTTAATTGTAGAGGATTTCTCAACAAAATTCAATGAAAATTTACATGTGCTCATTATCAAGTTACGACAGGCCTCAGAGACTACAAAGACTCTCTCTCTCCTTGCCTCATCAACAAGATGCCTGTCTCAAACTTTGAAGAATCAACAGATCTGAATTACTGTTAATTAAAAATTGTTTGGTGGATAGTAGAATATAATTAATAGTAGTAAGAGAAAAGCAACCAAATTCTTTGGGAAACTTCCGTCCTTGTTTTTTAAGTATTTCTGTACCCAAGCATGTAGTTAGTGATACTATTTCTCAAAAAACTCCAATTTCAATATTTCTTAATATTCCTACATTTTTTCCTCCTATTATCTCACAAAGCTTTTTCATTCTCTCCTATACAGCTTCGCTCATTATGACATGACTGCCATATGAGGGAAAAGGTTCTCAAGATTGTTCTCCTATTGCTGTTTCTAAATCTCTTGTCAACCTGTACAACTGAGTAATGTCAGCTAGATGGGCATTGAAACCAACCTTGAGAAAGGTTGCACATGGGGAAACCACTGTCTTACTGCATAATTTGCTGCATAATACACATTCTACAATACCAGAAATGCAGCTTAAATATTGATTTATGGTTTTTTGTCTACTATATATCTTCCAGTCCTTCTGAAGAACTGTGTTTTCAAAAATTCCAATTAACTTTAAGCAACACTCAAAGTGCAAACTATAGGTAACTCCTAGAATATAAGGAAACTTCTGCGAAGGGTGAAAAAGCCAAGCAAAATACCAGAAGTGCCAAAGGGAAACAAAGAATCTCAGGAAAACGCTGGAAGAGCATTTTTAAAAAGGTGTGTCCATGAGAGCGTGGTGCCTTAAAACAGAAACTTAATTGTGGTGGGTTCTCCCAAGGTCCATGAGAATAAAGGACACAGGACAAACAGGGGAAGGGGCAGTGTCATGGCAAAGAGCACGCATTTCACAATCGGGGAAAGGTAGAGAACCTTAGAGGGCTGTGTCCCCATCCGACTTATCGAACATAGGCTGTATTCTGGTCGCCCGGCCTCTCTATTTTAGAAGACACCCTCTTTTCCACCCTCTTCTCCCAATGCCCCGTTCCAAAAAAGCTGTCACCCACCTCCGAGAACCGTGCCCAGGAAGATACACTTCTTTTTGTGACGTTTGAGAAAATTCCACATAGACCTCAGCATCTTCAGTCCCTGGGGGTGGCGGGCTGCCTAGGGATAGGGGGTGGGTGCACCAGGAAACCGTTTCTTTGTCACCTGGCCTGGACTCGGCAGGACCGCCGTGGTCCTCCTCGGAGCTCTCCAGAAATCACAAGCGCGACTTTCCGCAGAGACTGTCACCAGAGCGGGAAGGGGGCGTGGACAAGAGCAAAGCAGCTGCGCTTTCTGTAGCTGCCGTCGCACCGCCGTCAACACTCACTGGCTCAGTGCACCCAGGTCCGTCCAGAATTCGCTCCCGAGTGCCTCGCCGTTTGACTCCCCCGGAAACGGTGGCCTGCACCCGCCGAGTTCCGGGCCAGCGCTCCTCCGTCGCCCAGGCTTCTGGCCCGGAGCGCGGCGGCCCCATCGCGTTATGGAGGCGGAGGCGGCATCCACACCGGCTGCCGGCGTTGGGTGCTCGGTGTCAGCGGAGGAGATCGAAAAGTGGATGGAGGAGGCCATGCAGATGGTGAGGAGCCCGGGAGGTGATGCCCGGGGTGGGAACTTCTCTGATCTCTTCCCAGCCCGATCATTTCAGCAAACGTCCCGGGTGCTTTCTCGTCACCATAATCTCGATGGCGCCACGTTCTAGGTAAACAGCTGGCTTTAGCCTATTCTCACAGTAGCCCTAAAGAAGGAAGAAGGGAGATGCATAAATTATTTATTTTTCACTGGTGCGAAGTATGCGTCAAATATCCCTATACAGCTGTTGCATCCCCTTCTTTACTGTGAACACACTCTCAAATCCGCCAAGGCACGTAATTTTGTATTTATGACCCCTTGAACCTATCTAGTAGAAGGAAGAAAGCTGAGCATGTTTCCGGTGGGGAGTAGATAAAAACAAATCCCTGTACAGCCAGATTCTACCATCTATCCATCCACCCTCCCTCCCTCCCTTCCTTCCTTCTGCCTTCGGTTCCGTACTTCCTCGCTCCGTCAGGACTGTTGATTAAGGAGGGCTCTAATCAGATTTGTGTATAATCCAAGCTTTACCCATTCTTATGTATGCCAGCGAGCTCTTTAATAGGGATAAAAGTGTATTTGGCATATATATGTATATGTATCTATATACAGAGATATATATATGAAATGCCCTTCAGTTTTACATTTCTCTAAAGCTGCTCTAAAAGAAATGTTTTTCATAACTTTTTTTATTATATTCATCCTATCCTTAATGGTCTCGAGACTCCTATAGCTAATTAATTCACAATTATGTCTTCACTCACTGCACAGATGTTTACTGAGTGCACATGTGGTTATTTAAATTAAGAGAAAATAAAATTAAATATTCAGTTCTTCAGTCACATTAGCCACATTTCAAGTACTAAGTAGCCACACACAAGTAGCCAACCATATTGGACAGTGCAGCTCAAAGAACATTTGCAATACTACAAAAGGCTCTATTGGGTAGCCCTGGTCTGAAATGGTCACAGTTCCATCTGCAGTATATAAGAACGTTCTGTCCTACCCCTATTCCCACTAGCCCTGAAATGATCACTTTTTAATATCTGGCAATGTTTCAGATGAGAAGCAACATCTGTGTGACTTTTTTGTTGTTGTTCTTTGATAAAGTTATCAAACTTTAAACAAACTTATCTACTTTATTGTTTTGTAAAATCACTATTTTTCATGACCATTTTCTTTTGGGTAGTAAGCATATAGTATAAGTTGTTGTTTTAATCATCGCAGTATCTAATTTTAAGGGTATAGGCTTGGAACCAAATATAAGAATAAGAAACAGTGTTACACTCTTACCGTGTTTCAGACACAGTGCTAGGCACAGTGTTTCATATGGGCTATAATATGTAAGCTCTACATATGAGGTACATATTATCACTGTCCTCATTTTCAGATGGGGACAGAGATGTAAATAAGTCCCCAAACTGGGAAGGCTGGTGAGGACGAGGCCGTGACTAGCCATCTGTTTTCACTGCCTGTCTGCACTGCATTGTGTTTGGTTGCTCACTGCTCTCCAACATACACTCTCCTGGATCTCTCTGCCTTTTTACTTTCATTACCCTGACCTACTATGTATTGAGCTTCCTAATTAGACATTTGAATTTGTTTTTCTTCTGTGAATTGCCTAGACATATCCATTGTCCAATTTTATTATGTTTTATTTTTTAAATTACATTGTAGAAACCTTTTTGTATTTTATGTCTATTTCTAGAAATAATTCACAAGGAAGTGACAGAGATACTAGTGAAGATACTAGTGAAGATATATAGCGAGGTTCTTCACTTGTTTATAATAGTGGAGATTTGAAACCATGTAAATGTTAAGCGATAGGGGACCAGTTAAATGAATCATCTATTCATACAGAAGAACACTGTGCAACCTTAAACAAAAACACCATGTGCTGAAAATATTACCCCCAAATAGGGAAATGTTTCTATTTCTAAATGAAAAGGGTAGACTGCTAAAATGTATATTAGTATAAATATATTTGACATTAAAAAAACCCTACAAGTATGTATATGTAGGCATAGAAAAAAAGCTTGAAAATCTTCTGCCCCAGAATAATAACTCAGTGGTTTTATTTTTGGATGTGTGAATTTTTTTACCCCCAAATTTTCTGTCTTGGACATTATCTTACTTTATAATTAAGAAAAAAGAAAGATTGAGTGTGTGTGTGTCTGTCTGTCTAGATTATCTATTTATCTATCTATCGAGAAAGCAAGTGTTCTCAAATAAATCCATTATATATTATTGTAGTATTCATTTTTCAGGTGCCTGGCATTAGTATAACATTGTGCTAGGTGAAATTAAGCCATACACTAATGAAAAAATTAATAAGTAATGTGTCCAGGGTCCAAAGTAAGAGATAGATATAAAGTGCCATCGGATAATAGGTGACAAAGCTCTGAGTGAGTCAGTTGACATCAATTTGGGATGCTTACTGAATTTTGAAAAGGAAAAAAGAGATATAGGTTGGTAGAAAGGAAGAGAAAGGCCGAAGAGCTCAGAGGAACTGATGAGTTCCAGGAAATGAAGGACTTTGTCTTTGGCTCAGAGGTGATCCAGCTGTCTGTCTAGAACAGGGCTCCCTAACCTGGGGCCCAGGTTTTATATGAGAGGTGGGAAACAGTATAAAAGAGAGATAAAGGTGCTGGAAGGAAAAAGGAAAAATCCATAGGAAAGCACGAAAGGCACAAGCCCAGCCACCTGGAGGCCTGGGTGGAGAGAGAGGCTGCCAGGTCTCTGCGGGGTGCCTGCCACCGCTTTCTTCTGGGTGAACAGGTCAGGACCTGGAACCCCGCTGGGCCATACAGGTTCTCTCTCTCCCTTTCCACTGCTGCCCACTCCCTCTCCACTTCATTTTTGGATTCTCTTCTACATGTTCGAAGGGGCCACAGGGCCATACATAGTTTTACAGAAAATCCTTGTTAGGTGGTCTCCCCGTTTGTTTATTTTCTTGCAGTATTTTTATTCTTAAACTTTCTATGTCCTACTATCTTGCTAAATGTTTCCCTCTCCTTTTGTCCCCAAACACTGAGGAAGTAGCTGATCAGTGGTGACTGGAGTAGAAACCAGAGGCAGGGCCGTGGCAAATTGCCAAGGAAACTGGCGCCTGGTAGGTGCTCCACAAATACCTGTTGAAAGAATGAATGAATGGCGCCAGATGGCCTGGGCTCTAGTCCCAGCCTCTCACATGGGCAAATTCCATAACCTCCCCATGCCTCAGCTTCCTCATCTGTAAAATGGGGAAGATCTTCAAACCTCTCTCATAGGGTTATAAACCAAATATATTAATACTTATCAAGTGCTTAAAATAGTCCTGGGTCAAAGTAAGTTTTTCAGTAAATTGTAAGCTCTTACTATTTGTAAGCGCAGAATCAGAACACTTGCAATGTAGCCGTAACAGTCTGTTGGAACAGAAGCTAAACATTTAACCTACAGCTAAGTCCCTCTTCCAGCCACTGGTTTCCATTCCCATCACTCTTCCCAAATTGCCTCTGCCTCATGGCCCTTCTTTCTTGGCCCATTTTCTTCTTGGGTCTTGGATAACACCAGACCCTCCTGGCTTTCCTCCTACCTCACCAGGCATCTCTTAATCTGCACTCCAAGATGCTTCTCATTTATCCCACCTTTTAAAAAAACTTTTTATTTGAAATAATTACAGACTCACAGGAAGTTGCAAAAAAAAAAGTGTACAAGGAAGGCCCATGTACCCTACACTCAGTTTCCTCCAATGGTAACATTTTACATAACGTTAATACAGTATCAAAACCAGGGACGTGACATCGGCACAGTCTGCGAGTTTATTCAGATTTCATCAGCTCCATATGCACTCGTGTGTGTGTGCATGTGTATGTGTAGTTCTGCGTAGCTCTGTCTCATGTTCAGTTTGCTTAATTACCAGCAGAGCTGCTCCATAACCACAGGTTCCTGGCTGCTGACCCCTTTCATGGCTGCTGTCCCCTCCTAAACCCTAAACCCTGGCAGCCACTAGTCTGTTCTCCATCCCTACAATTTTGTCATTCAGGAAAGTTATAGACAAGAATATGTAACCTTTTAAGATTTTTTTTTTTTCATTCCACATAATTTCTTTTAGATCCATCCAAGTTGCCAGGTCGATCGATAGCACATTCCTTTTCCCTGCTGTGTAGTTTTCCCACGGTGTGGCTGTACCACAGTTCATTTAAGCATTCCCACCGAAGGACATTTGGGTCATTTACAGTTTTTGGCTATTTTGAATGAAACTCCTACAAACATTCATGTCTCTATATGAAATGATCTATTCTATGAACCTAAGATTTTATTTTCCTGGGGAAATAAATGCCCAAGAGTGCGATTTCTGGGCTATACGTTTAGTGCATGTTTAGCTTTTTAATGAACTTTCAAACTATTTCCCAGAGTGGCTGTACCATTTTATATTCCCACGAGCAGTGCACCAGGGATCCTGTCTCTCCACAGCCTTGTCAGCCTTTGGTGTTTTCACTTTTCATTTTAGCCGTTCTGTAGTGCTGTTGCATTGTGGTTTTAATTTGCATTTTCCTGGTGGCTAATGATGTGGACATCTTTCCATGTACTTATTTGCCTTTTTTATGCCTCCTTTGGTGAAATGTCTCTAAGTATTTTTTGCCCATTTTCTAATGGGCTTGTTTGGGCTTTTTTTACTTGTTGAATTTTGGAGAGTTCTTTACCTAGTCTAGATCTTTGTTTGGTGTGTGGTTGGCAAATATCTTCTACTAGTTTTAGTTTGTCTTTTCTTCCTCTTAATGGGGTGTATTAGTTTCCTATGGCTTTTGTAACAGATTACTACAAACTTAGTGGTATAACACAGTGCAAGTTTATTCTCTTACAGTCCTGGAGGCCAGGAGCCTGCCATTAGTTTCTCCACAACCTATGATGCAGCAGGGCACAGTGCCCTCTGGAGGCGGATATATTTCCTTGTCTTTTCCAGCTTGTAGAGCAGGGATTTTCAACCTTTTTCATTTCATGGCACCTAAACTAAATTTCCACGGCATACCAAAAAGTGTATTATATTTTCTGCCAATTTGACAAAAAACTGGTGTAATTTTGATTCATTCACACCAGATGGCCATTGTTGTGTGTGTGTGTGTATGTGTTTTAAATTTGGCACTCTAAGGGAAAAGGCGTCAGTTACCATGATTAAGTGGTCAGGTATTGCATGTTTTAAAACTCCTTGCAGCACACCAGTTGGAAATTGCTATTCTAGAGGGACATTCCTTGCTTGGCTTGTGGGCTTTTCTTCCATCTTCAAAGTGGACAGCATAGCATGACATCACTTTCTGCTTTGTGGCAAATCTCTCTCTGCAATCACGTGACTGCATTTAGGGCCACCAGGATAATGTCCTTATCTCAAGATCCTCAACAAATATTTGTTGGACAGATACATGATTTGTCTCCCACGTGTAGCTGGGTTATGTGTAACTCCAAGCTTATTTTAAGTTGCATTCTTGGTGTGACCGCACTTCACTTCTCCACCCTCCGCCGCTGCCAGTCCTCCTCCTGGCTTCCTTTCAGTAGTGGCCTGTGGTGCATTTGTGCTGTTCATTTGGAACCCTTCGGACTTTCAAACTCGGAGTAAACGGGGCATGCTCTCGCCTTTTTTCAGAACTGGGACAGAATCAGCCCGTGGGTAGTTCGTGACGCGGCTCTGAAGAATGCAGTCTTACTGCTTCAGAGACGGTCGCCTTACATCTCTCTGGCCCACCACTCCAGAAGAGAAAGGGGAGGTACAGCTGGCTGCCACATGTGTGCCTCTCCTTTTCCCCTATGGCTTGCCCGTTGAGCCATAGCTTGAAGGAGCTCAGGAGCCCATGTTAACATCATGATAGGACATTACTGCTACGATAGATAAAGTATAGCTGTGAGTAAGAGGCTAGTGAAGGAGAAAGAACGCTGTTTTCAGCAGTGCCTTCAACTTTGGACTCCGTACACCATATGGAGTGCGTATATATGTCCTATACTTACATGGGGATCTAGGCTTCCAAAGTGTCTCCTGGGCTGCCGAAATAAGAAATGCCATGCCTTTCTAGAAACAGCTGGTTTTGGATTCTTTTAACTGTAGTGACGTGGAAGTGATTGTACACTAACCGAAGGGTCCCACCTTCCTTTATTCTTTCTCAATGGATGTCCCCAGATACAACCTACCTGCTTCTGCTGTCTGCTGGAAAAAATTATTCTCTCATGGCCCTGGGCCCTGGAGCTGCTGTGGTTCACAAAGTGGAAGGGCAGGAAGGAAAATGGACAGTAGGTGATAGAGGGAGGCTTTGCAAATAGCATAGTTTGCCATTCCTGGGATGGTTGTGGTGGAACTGTTCCTAGGCTTATTTTTCAGTTGAGGTGTACTTTACATGCAGTGAAATGCGCAGGTCTTAAATGCATTGTTCATTCAGTTCTGAGTGATGTAAACACCTGTGCAACCACACCCTGATCGAGATAAAGTTTCCTCCAACCCAGACAGTTTCCTTATGTCCCTTCGCCATCAGTCAGCCTGCATTTCCCCTCCACGCATGTCGCTGTAGTTTCGTTTGGCCCAGCCCAGCACTCCTCGGGGACGGAGTCATGCAGTCTGTGTGCTTCGTCTTTGACCTCTTCTACCCAGCATGTCTGGGATTCAGTCACGTGGTTGTATGTCAGCGGTTTGTCCCTTTTTATTGCTGAGTAGTGTTCCCCTGTGTGACGAGACGACGTTGGTTTATCCATTCTTTTTTTGTGGACCCCTGTGCTGTTTCCAGATCATGGCTATTACGAGTCAAACTATTATGGCCATTCTTTTACAAGTTTTCTTTCTTTTTTTTTTTTTTTTTTTTTTTTTGTAGACATACAAAGTGGAGCCAAAGGTTTACAGTTATTCATATGGAAAATAAATAGTACAAGAATTCATAAATAATAATTCATAAATAAAAGTAGGTTTACAGTTGTTCATATGGAAAATAGTACAATAATTCATAAATAATAATACAAAAACAAACTCTGTATTTCGCATACTCACAACTGTCACCTACTTCCCCCCCCCCCCAACCTTGTATAGTCCCTTTTCTTAAATAAATACTCAGGAGTGGAATTTGTCTATAGGCGATATGCATGTTTACTTTTTAAGAAAACTTCCAAAATGTTCTCCAAAGTGGTTGTGCCATTTTCACCTCGAATGCTCCTCAGCCTTTCTTGTCTCCCTTAGAACAGAAATTGGGGAGGCAGGGGGACCTCCAGTCTGGTCCCCTTAATGCTATTCGAACTCTAGAGGATATTTTCTGTCACTTTTAGAGGAACGAAATTAAGCAAGTAGAATTTCAAACAGGAAAGAATTTTAAGAAAGGATTTATAAATATTATTTTTTCTTTTCTTTGCAAATACATGTGCTCACTCTGAAAAGGTACATAGACCCTGGAAATTTAAGAACAAGAGTCAGTAACAGTCTCTTGACCCCCTCTGCTTGCAGTGGGGGAAAAAGAAAATCAGGGGCTCAGGAACTGGGGACGGGAGTTCTTCCCTGAGCCTCCCTTGGGACGGACTCGACAGAGAACGGAGGCACTGAGTCCTGAACTGTGTTTGAGGAAAGGGCAAGGTCAGTTGCATTTGTTTGCTCTAGTGTTTATCATGTGTTTACTGCTCATGCTGCATCTGTTTCTTTCCTGTAGACCTTTCAAGTGTTGAGCATTACATCTGAGATTTTCCACTTTGTTTTTCAGGCCAAAGAAGCCCTGGAAAACACTGAAGTTCCTGTTGGCTGCCTTCTGGTCTACAACAATGAAATTGTGGGGAAGGGAAGAAATGAAGTTAATCAAACCAAAAATGTATGTGCATTCAACATAGAAATGCAGACTCAGGGCAGTGAGGGTGGGAGCGGAGCGAGGTCACCCCAGCCGGTGAGAAGGGGGGCCTGTGTGCAGTCCTGAGGTATCAATGGAAGGGTCGTGTCCCTAAACCGCTCTCCCTCTTATTTTTTAATGCCTTTTATTCTGATTGTAAAAGTGACACATGTTGATTTTTACAAATTTGGAAAATTCAGAAAAATTGAATGGACCCATAAAACCTCTGGAGCTAATTTTCTGTTTTATGGAGCTTTACTTTTGCGCTTGAGTGAAACCCAAGGGGCAGCTGTATTCCACTGGAGCGGCATCAGTGTGGGAGAAACGAGTCCATCTCCATTTTAAGCGAATCTAATTCAGGAAAATTTTACCTTGCAGAATAGACCAACTCAACTCATACTGCATTCATGATAACTTTAAATAATGTGTTGCTCCTAGTAAATTAAAAATCACCCTCAATATATAACTTTGGAGGTAAAAATGATATATAAAGAAGCTATTCCTATTGTAGGTAAGTTATCAGAATAAAGTCTCCACTGCCTGCTCTCTCTGTACCTACTCGTAGTGCGTATACTTCAATAGGTTGTGGGACTTTTCATTTACAGTGGTTAGGTGGAGAAGGTCATGAATTAAGGCAGTACTGCTTGACTGTGGTGTCACAGTGGTATGCTGCAGTAAGTCTAAATGAAGTATCAGATTTTATGATTATAAGAAATACTAGGTGGTCTCGGGCAGCTGATCACCCTCATGCCCTCACTCAGACTTTGATCTTGTTGTGTGATCTTGGGAACCAGGGAACAAGCTGGGGTTGATACTGGTCCTATGTGGATGTTAAAGTCCATCCATCGCGTGTATCAAAGGTAAAGCTGAAATTTAGCAAAACACATTCAAAGCGGTAACTCAGGTTCACAAAGCAGTTATTATGTAGATGTCAAAATACCTGTGAGATAAGTCATAAACATAATCCAGCACTTAGTGAATATGTAAATACTTATATTTGGGAGTAGAATTTTATATTTTAGATAACTGTCACATCTCCTTATTTGTATTTTGTCGTTTGGTATGGTATCTTTAACATGAGAACTTTGTCCTAACAACATCCATCCTACCGCCAATGACCTGTGTTTCTCCTTTACTTTGAAATGACCTGGATTTATTTTGGTATTCCGTGTCCTATAAAAGATTGTCTGATAATCACAGTATAGAAAGCTACTTGATACCAAGCGAGAAGACCTGAGTCCTGCTTTTGGCTTTGACACCACCACCACCACTTGTCCCATTTGTGTGTTTTAATACATCTTAACAAAGCTTCTGGTTCTTCAGCCATAAAAGAGGAAGTTGATTGAAATGATTCCGTTCAACAAGTGCCTATGGAGAACTACAGGGAGATTTGATTTAGTAATTCTGAATCCGATTTTTAAAGAGCACTCGAGTTGGGGAAACTTAATTTTGAGCTCCCCCTTTGGTTCGGGTATGCTGCCAGGCTTGGGAACCTCTTCTCTAAAGTGCCTGCTAGCTCTGAGTTTATAGTTCTGGCTTTCATGGGACTTGGGCCACAGCGCCAGCACTTTTCCCTCCCTGCCCAACATCACAGGTCCCCTTTCTGCTTACCCTACCAGACTGTACACTTGTGGAGGACAGAGACTTTTTATTCCACACAGAATTTAGCACAATGGCTTGTGCATAGTTAACACTCAGTATCAGTTTATTGATAAATATGATGATCGTGAGTATTATAATCAATTGTCACGCGGCAGAGTATATATGTAGCGTTATGTGGCATTAGCTTCCTGTAGTGTAGAGTCATAGATGACCAGTGTACTGCATTTTATGTATGGGTAAACCAGGGTTTAGAGAAGATAACTTGCCCAAGGCCACATAATTAGTAATGTCATGGTCAGGATTCAAATTTAAATGTGGTTGATTCCAAAGCTTGTGTGATTTTGCCTATATTCTGCTGCCTGCAGGAGGTATCTGAGACCTAACCCCAAAATCTGCTTCTCTTTAAAGTCGGCCTGCATATAAAATCTAATCCCAAAGAACGTGTGAGTGATGACATTCCCGTAAGCTGAATAAAGATTTGCCCAGAGTCAGGTCAGTGACAGCCTTGAAAACACATCTGAAACGGGAGCACATGCTTTCAGCAATTTCAGGCTTTCCCTAAATGTTAAGACGCTAGGCTTACCATTCTTTTTTTTTTTTTCAAGACATCTTCTTTATGGCATTTTAATCGAAAGAGTGTCCCTCAACTTCTTAGGTACTTAACTAAAAACATAGCCTCATTCGTATGGCATTTCAGATTAAATCTCTTTTGTTGGTGAGGTTATGGTACTTGACCTGGGGAATATGTTGTCACCTGCTAAGGGTGTTGAGAAACCTCTATTCTTTAAAAACGTTGGCAGAGACAATAGGCCCATTTTTTGGTATTTATTTTTGAGTATTTGGTGAATGTCACAAACATTGACAAGGTGAGCTCCTCTCTCTTTGCAGGCCACTCGACATGCGGAAATGGTGGCCATCGATCAGGCCCTAGCCTGGTGCCGGGGCAGCGGCAGGAGCCCCTCCGAGGTGTTCGAGCGCACGGTGCTGTACGTCACCGTGGAGCCCTGCGTAATGTGCGCTGCCGCTCTCCGCCTGATGAGTATCCTTGCGCTTTGCGGGTTAACGTCTGTGAACTTGAAAGTGGCCACTTACCCATTCCTAATATAGGAAAACAGAGACGAAACATTCTAGGAGGTGATCTTTATGAAATATAGTATCCCTTGGTCAAAAATTTTTTGAGAAGATTTTTAAATAGTAAAATGACCTCGTTTAAAAAATATCTATGAAGATGTAACTAGTAAATAAGCTAGAAAAAGAAAAGCTTAGCACTAATTTCAACTGTTATGTAAGGACAAATCATAATGTAAGTTAAAGTAGATTGTAAAACTGCATAAGAAAAGGTCTGAAGAACATGCTCCCAAGTCTTGCCTTTAGATAGCAGATTTTGGTGATTTAAAAATTCTTTCTCTGTTTATGTTTTTATTTCTTTATTTTTGTCATAAAAACCTATGACAAATATGAAAAATTTTAAGTGAAAAGCCAATGCAAAGTAAAAAACAAGTCACTTATGATATAATTGTAAATAAATGGGACATCAATAATGTTACGGCTCTTTGCATTGTGTCTTTCGTAGAATAATTGACACAAGTACTGAGTGCAGCACGTTAGTCTGCTAGGATTTAAAAAAATTATTTAATAATTTAAAAACTCAATTTCATACTTGCATAGTTTTATCTACTTCTTTTACTATGTATGTATGAATCATCTGATTACCTTAAAAATAATGTGGAGGGTTTTGAGTGTGATAAAACGTACAGTCCCCGCTCTCTAAAATGGGCAGCTACAGGCGACAAGGTTCTCTCCCCGTCCTGCTTTACAGAGTTACTCATCCTCAGTCCATTTTGTACAGGAGCACAGGGTGTATTTTATTTGAGGAAAGAGCAGGGACCAATATGCTGTTTTTAAAGGTGAAAATCTCTGGATTAAATTCTTGCCTCTATCCTGGCGAAAGCTCTGTAATGATTCCAAAAAAACTGATTTAGGAAAAACCAAGAGAGAACATGAAAACTGTAAACATTTACCAGCTACCTATTTCGTTTTCATTATGCTTATGATTGTGAGATATTAATTTCTAAATCCTTTAAACCTCTTTTGTGTAACTTGATTGTATGATATTCAACCTGAAGCTTAAGCTTAATTGTTTTTAAGAGTAGCATGAGCTTTGCTCTCCGGGATGGCTGGTATAAACTCTACTTTTGTCTTGAACTGCGCATTCCCTGGAGAACCTTAACTCTCCTTATAAATCCCACTGGTTGTATATGGCTGTCAGAATGAACGTTTTGGTGGTTGTGGCTCTGTTCTAGATATTGCCTCTGCTGATTTACCAAATACTGGGAGACCATTTCAGGTAATGTGAACTGGTACACTTTTCCCTTCTTTCTAATTTCTTTGATCTCATGACGGGCTTGCGAATCGTGCGTGTGTGGTGGGTGTACCGGAAGCCATGCTAGAACTAAGACAGGCTCCAGGGCTATGGGTCCAGTTCTTTCATGCTTCAGTGTTAGGTGACAGGCAGTCATTTCCAGGTGAGTGCCTAGCTCAGAATCAACAGAATCTCTGGTGAAAGAGAGTCCTCAGCCTCCCAAGGTATCTACCAACAAGCTTCACCCAAGCCTTCAGGTATGTTTGAAGGTGCTACCCTTATTGGCGCTTTCACTCAGTGAGCATCCCCAGTCTGTACTGTTTGTGTGACACTTGGCCACTGACAGTGACAGTAGATGCCATTTTCCATAAACACAATATTTTTGCACACATTTAGTAATTTTTCTTGACTGCTATTTTTGGTGTGTAGCAATCAATACCTCTATTCTCATATTTTTTTCTGCCCTTGGTATCTGAGAGAGTAGTCTCAGTGGAGTCCCGGGAGCACAAGCCAGTGAGGATAAGGCGGAGGAGGAAATGAGGGCCCCAGAAGTGAAGACCACGATTCTGGAAAATTCTCAGGAAGGAGCAGGGTAGCAGCTTGCCTGGGACCGGTTAGAAGGAAGGTCTTTGGGTTTCTCCCCAGCTTTATTCAGATATAAATGACATGCAACCTTGTGTAAGTTTCAGGTGAACAACATGACTTGATAGACGTATTTATTGTGACATACTTTCTTCACCTCATATAATTACCATTTTGTCATTGTTATGGTGAAACATTTAAGCTCTACTGTCATAGCAACTGTCAAGTATGCAGTACATCACTGTTAACTGTAGTCACCGTGCTGTATCTTCAATTCCTGGAGCTTGAAGTCCTCTTATGAGGCAAAATTTGTACCCTTTGGCCGGTGTCTCCTCATTTCCGCAACTCCTGTGTCCCTGGCAATCACCATTCTGCTGTCTGTTTCTAAAAAGAAAATGTGACATAAACACTCACATGTACACACACCCATGGAGTATTATTCAGCCATAAAGAAGAGGGAAATCCGGCTGTTTGGATAGACCAACAGGGGTGGACCTCTAGGGCATTATGCTAAATAAGTCAGACAGAGAAAGAAAAGCACCGCATGACCTCACTGACACGTGGAATTTAAAAACATTGAACTCATGTTTGTTTGGATGGGGAAGGTTTACACAGGCTCTGGAGGCCCAGGCAAGAGCCGACTGAAGGCACAAGAGAAAAGGAGGCTCATTCTGAGCAGTGGACGGCGCCTGCCAGTCCCCTTCCTCTCCTGTGTGCTGCTTCCAGGTGTGCCTCCCTGAAGTCTCTGCTCATTGGAGCTTCTCCTGCACCTGAGCCGGGTACAACGTCTCAAGCCCAAACTCCTCTGGCAAGCCTTCGAAGCCCTATGTGTTTTGACCTTGTTTTATCTCTCTCATTTTGTTTCTTGTACTCCCTTAATAATCACCCCTGCCTCCATCAGCTGGTTTCTTCATATTTGCAACCCAAGTTCATTCTTACTCTTTCAGCGATATGCCTTGTTCAGCCTCTTTCACTGTCCTCTGTCCTTAAAGCAAGTTCAAGTTTCAAATCTTTTCAAATCTTCACTGTTACAACAGTTATTCTTTCACAGGCTGATCTTTTCTCCCCAATTAGATACCGAAGATAGAATAAACAGAACACTTAAAAAAAAAAATCCTCTATAGTAAGGATTGACCAATTCTTTTTTCTGTAAAGAGTCAGATAGTAAAAATGATAGCCTTTAAAACTCATTTATGTCTCTGTCACATGTTCTTTTTTTTTTAACAACCTTTTAAAAATATAAAACTCTCTTTTGTCTATCATTTTTAGCTGTGGACAGCCAACCATAGCTCTACAGCATCTAACCATTAATGGGTCACCAGTAAATAAGAGCAGGTAGAAATAGCTAACGCGTCATGAGCACTTGGGTGGGGGGGGAGCGCCAGGTACCCAGCAGGTGTTATTTATTCTCATTTAATCCTCACAAAACCCTTCTGGGTTAATTGCTATAATTACCTACATTTTACATATGAGGAAACCAAAACATAGAGTTTAAGAATCTTACCCAAGATCACATAGCCAGTAACCTCAACGGTAGTTGATTGAGAGTGATGTTTGACAGGCCATCCAGCTATTCTGGAAATACACTTTCCTTGTAGTTAATATACTACGAAGTATATTAACCTCTGAAAAATGTTTACGTAATTATGTATATATTGCTCTTTTTATGGAATACAGCACACATGGTCCTAGGCCTATGTTCATTCTCAACTTTCTCATTTCATTAGTGCATTCCTGGCTATCGGGCTGAGGAAGCGGTGGAAATGTTAAAGAACTTCTACAAACAAGAAAATCCAAACGGTCAGGTTTCCACTACTCTATATAATGTCCCTCACCTAAAGCACATCAGTATGAAGAGAGTCTGATATGGGCTGACCCCCTCATTTTCTCTTTTCCTCCCTATCTTTCCACAGCACCCAAATCAAAGGTTCGGAAAAAGGAATGCCAGAAATCCTGAGCTTGATCTAATGAAGCACGAATGCTGCTGGATGAAATTCTTGGACTGAAAGCTGCTGACCTCACTGGATCATATGTTATATATTGTCTGTAACCCATGGGAAAAGGATCTCTCATCATTGCCTCTGTTAAAGGAACAAATTAGCACTTTAAAAAAGGCAGACAATTGCAATCAACTACTAGCTTTTCCATGAGCTGAATATTTTGAAAAGGGGAAAAATTAAAGATTGAGGTGTTAGAAATTAGTAAGCAATGCAATGCACTTCCTGCCAAAACTGTGACGCCCAGCCCAGGAAAGCACTGTAGGAAATGAGCACCGAGACTCAGTTATCGGCCTGTCTGGACGGGGCTGTGCGGCTGTGGACGCCCGGCCCACGCCTGGCACTGCAGAAGCGAGTCTTCTTTGCAGCCACTATGTTCTCCCAGGGTGTTGGGGGACCGTGACTTCCTTGGACACTGTACATGAGTTGTATACATGTAGACCGTGATTATATGATCCTCAGAACAAATTTTTTACTTTTATAAAACATTTAGAATAAATGCCTATTTTAAAACAAGTGCTTAGGTGTGATTTTAAATTGCAGCATATTGCTAAAATAAAACCTTATTTGTGCCTTTTTCGAAGATGGATCGTCTTAAAAATAAAAGACGGATGCATAATTGGGACAATTCCATCTTTGTCACTGAGCAACTGCACTGTGAATCAGTGAGTGAAACAGGGACTCTTGCCCTCGTGGAGCAGGGAGATAAATAACAATAATGGCATGTTAGGGGGTGACAGATTATCGCAAACAGAATGGGCGAGCCATGGGTGGTGGGAATGCTCGTTGCACAATGAAATAGAATGGTCAGTTTGATCTGAAGTCGAATACAGTTGTTTCTTTTCATAAAAGCCCAGATTTAGAATTTAAAATCTAAAGCGGTAAAATGTGCCCACATCCCTGGACAGGGTGCCGCAGCAGGGTCCCCCGGATCTGCACGCTGCCTGACTGCAGCGAGGCAGGCGCTGCTGACAGGGCGGCTCTGCAGAGCCCGGCCGCAGTGCACCGCGTCCGTCCGCCCAGAAGGGGGCCTCGCCGCTCCACCAGAAGCCCCGCTCCAGGCCCTGGACCGCAGCTCCTCAGCTGCGTCTCTTCAGTGGATTCATTTCCTTGATGCAAAGCATCTGTATTTGTTGGTTCTGCCGTTTGAGCGATGTCTCTGACTTGTTTGTTTTGAATTACATTACAGGCTGGAATGTAATTGTGGTGAAAGTATTTTTATATTGCTCGGAGTAGCAGCTAATCACAGTTACATGCTTCGGAGGATTTATAATTGCTTGATTTTGTATGTGTGTGTTTTTAAGTGCATTTGAATTTTATGGAGAAGAATAGGCATGATTTTAAATCTATAGTAATGTTACATATAACTTCAATTTCACCTGCTTTAAAAATTATCCTCTCGTTAAATTTTAGTGCTTCGACTACTTTATTCCTATTTGCAGTTGGTCATAATTCATTTCTGGCTCCTTATGGTTTTCTGCAGGCAGACTTCATAGCATCTATTGTCTTCATATCATTTTCTGGAGAATTATTTGTAGACAAAAACACCTTGTATCTTTCCCCTAGAGAGTAGCACCCATTGTGTCTGGCTAAGCCTCTTATCTCAAGCAGGTTCTTGGTAAACACGTGATAAAATCATTGACTGAAATCTGAGGGAAAATGAATAAGGAGAATATCTAGGATAAAAAGCCAAAGCCAAAATTAGTATACGGTTATTTTAACCCAGAGATAGTGATGACTAAAAGGATCTAGAAAATAATAAAACTATGAACAGGGAAGGATAGCAAACACTTGCCGATGCACATGCATTCTGTTTTTGTTGTGTTTTGGAGGATGGGTATTTGCTAATTCCTAAGCATGACTGACAATTTTAGTTTTGGTTATGAGCTTTTTGATTATCCAGTGATCGATTTATAGAAAAGTCTCAATGTTTGGTCTTCGGTACAGTTACCTGTAACACTTTGCGGCGGGGTGGGGAGGGAGGGTTCAGTTTAGAAGGTATGTTGCAGATTGAAGGCTGGCACCTCCAGTGTTGGTATAGGACCATTACAGAGTCATGGACATTCAGGCTGCGGGATTCTGACCGTTTTGAGGCTGTGAGACTCTGACAGCGTTTTCGAGTTGGTGGCGAGGAGTCGTGGATATCTGATGAGGTGATCCTGCTTTCTGAGAACCACATTCCCCAGCTACTTAGACATGGCTTAAAATATTAAGATGCTCCAGTTCAAAAGATTGACTCCAATTGATTGTTACTAACAGCTCCTGTCGAAGAGACCAGCCGAGGCACTTGCTCTGTGTGTGAGGTAAGTCAGGAAGCAGTGGGATGCAAACGGTCTTAGAATCTCTACCCTGTTTAGAGAAACGACTGGGAAGTGATTGAACATAAGTCACCAGAGTATTGAATGTTTGCTGGTTTTTGCAACGTGCTCTGTGGAGAATGGGCGGTGTGTAATGCTTTGGCAGGCTTCAATCACTGATAAGATATGTTAAAATATCTTTGCACTTTCTTTTTACTTGGCACAAATGCCTCTTCCTGTGTTGTGTTTGGAATATCATGGAGAGAAATTAGACAGCCAAGAACTCCAGTGTAGGCAAGAACTGTTAATTTTTTTCCTGAAAATCTCTATTTGGAAATAATTTAAAACTTGTAGAAAAGTTGCAAAAATACCCATGGATTCCTTATTCTTCAAACCTCCTGTTAAACATGTTATAGCTTTAACTTTATTTGCTCTCTTTATTCTCTTTTTTCTCTCCCTCTCTTCATATATAATCATTTTTCTGAACCATTTGGTAGGAAGTTACATGCATATACATCACAGTCCTTTACACTGAATGTTTCAGTGTTTCCAAAGCATAGGGATATTCTCTTATGTAATCACAGTATAGTTATTAACATTAGTAAATTTAGCATGAATACATTACTTTTATCTAATATGCCATTTGTATTCCAGTTTTGTCAGTTGATCCCACAATGTCCTTCACAGAATTCCCCCCACCCCACCCCATGCTCTTTAAATCTTTTCTGGGTCAGATATCACATTTAATTGTCATGTATCTTTCGCTTCTTTTACTCTAGAGCATTTCCATGGCCTCTCTTTGTTTCCTATGACATTTTAAAAATCATACAGTCCTAACTGCTCCCCCCTTCAACTTTTCTTCCTTCCTTTTCTTTCTTTCTTTCTCTTTCTCTTTCTTTCTTTCTCTTTCTTTCTTTCTTTCTTTCTTTCTTTCTTTCTTTCTTTTTTCTTTCATTCATTCTTTCTTTCTTTTCTTTTCTTTCTTTCTTTCTCTTTCTTTCCTCTTTCCTTCCTTCCTCCCTTCCTCCCTTCCTTCCTTCCTTCTTTCTTCTTTCTTTCTAAATAATTGTGTTTCCTCATTACTAGGTTCAGGTTATGCATTCCAGGTGACATTGTGCTCTCAGTGTGTCATTTCTGGAGTTATCCCAAAGCCTTTTTCTTCCCTCAGTGGTGATGTTAATTTTGGTCGCTTGGTGGAGGTATTCTCTGATTTCTACACAACACAATTGTTGTTATTTTTTTATCTGCAATGAATAAGCAGCTTGGGGTGAGAAACAGTTACATTTTTTGAAAGAATATATATGACATTGATGGAAAGGAGGGGAAGATAATGATGATATAAATTTCAAAGCAACTGTTAAACTATTTGATTGAATGCTTTCTCTTTTCTGTTTGCCAAAAATTATAAAAATTCCCTAATAAGCATATTTTCAATAGGGATATCTTAATAAAAATTAAAAGGACACCTCAGACATAAGTTTTTTCTCTCTTGATCTCCTCAGCAAAACTAATTATGTCAACTTAATTATATCTGATAAAAAATAGAGTTTTGGGAAAACAGGTCTAAGATGTTTCTGGTATCACAGATGGCCTCTAGTGATCCAATAGGCTGTATAATTTCAGGTAGGTAGTCATTTGGCCATAACAGGAGTTTTCTTGGGTTTCCACAGAGACATCTAGACTTAAAATGTTTCAACCACTACTACCTTTAAATGAGTGTCAGTAAAAATAGCAAAAGCCAAGGCTCTTTAAAAAGAAAAAACAAATTATTTAATTTTTTTTTTCAAGTAGTGAGGTTCCCGGTTAAAAATCCATTGTGGAAGCCAAAGCTTGTCCTTCCCAGTCATTCTGCATCAGCTGGAGAAGAGGCACCAGGAACTGCATTGACTTCATCCATGAAGACGGCTGCCAACTACTTTCTTACTTTGTAACTGTTCGTTGCTTGTGGTGAGGAAAGGGGTGATGGGTGACATTGTTTTTATGGCTATAAGTTCTGGTGAAAGTGTGACAGCCTTAGGGCCTTACGCTTTTTCAAGTGGAGCTAATAAAAACAGGCTTGTGAAATGACTTCTTACCCGATTTTTAAGTGAATATTGGGCTAAAGACTTTGTGGTGCGGTTGAAAATGCATGAGCTTGGGAGTCAGGAGCAGGAGGTGGCAGAGTACCCAGCCTGCTGCCCATTGTTGGTACCACTCACAAGCTGAAAATAGTGTTACGTTTTCAAATGGTTGAAAAAGAAACAAAAGACTTCAGGGACCTGTGAACATGAAATGAAATTCAAACTTCAGAATCCACAAATTAAGTTTCTTCGGAGCGCAGCCATGCGCACTTGATTTTCTGTCATCTACGGCTGTCTCCGCACCACAGGGGCAAAGCCAAGTTGTTGCGACAGAGACCTGCTTGTGGCTCCCAAAACCTAAAGTATTTTGTGCCTGGCCCTTTGAGAGACGGTCTGCTGCCCCCTGGCCCAGGGATGTAAAATGTTGAGGTTTGATCTCTGAGGTAATTGTTCAAGTTCGGTGACTTTGGAACTGAATAACGGGGCTCATTGTGCAGCGGTGGTGGACTGCTTCAGTGCCATGATTTTTCTTAAGTTGGTTTATAAATACGAAAGAGAGATCCAAGACATGAATATATTTATTCTTCCTTAAAATATTTTGTTTCTTTATAAAGATACTTTAACACTTTATTTGGGTTCAGAGTAAGCAATGCATGGTATTTAAAATCATCGTATTAAAAATGTCATCAAGTATTTATCATTTTTAAGGACAGTTGTTACGATGTCAAAAATCTACTGGACTCTTCAAAAGACCAGGACTCTAGCGGCGTCTACCTTCATACCACCCTGCATCTCCAGATCTTCCCCAGTTTCCTCAGCCACAGGTTTGGTAACCCTTGGGTGCTGGAATCAGGCACGCTGAGATTTGAAGAAAAGACCAAAAAGAAACACCTATTAGGTGTTTTGTTATTTTTTTTTAACCTCCACTGAGTTCGGGATCAAGCCTTTTGTGTAATAAGTATTATGTCCAAATTCTAAATTGCATAGCAAAGAAGTACTTGAGGGAGACTCCCTGGAGGAGGGACACAAGCTACGTCCTGAAAGACATGTAGGGTTTGGGAAGGTGAGCAAGAGGGTGAGTGGCAGCATATGCAGTATTAGAGCAGGAGAATGACACTGAAGGGAAGACACAGTGGC